ATGTATGTCATATTCCGCAACGAATATGGCATATTCACTTGCGGTGTATGACAGATACACCTGCGGTATATGGCATACACATTAACCCACGAGAACGCGATACGGAAGTACGCAATTGTCTAATAACATCGATTCAACGAACGGGTTAAAGTCTATAAATCATTATAATGATTACTGAATCAACAGGTCAGTGCATTGAATATATGAACTTATTGAATAACATACATCAGTGGTACCTGTATTGTTTGATATATGTGTTACATGCAAAAACACACTTCCTTGAAGTGAAACATTATTACACATAAATAAACGAACCTACGTTCGTGAAGCTTATGAGTGACTTTTACAACCAAATCAGGTTAAGAGGTTAAGATTAGCGTAAAAATATACGTGTACCTATCCATATCCATATGTTTGTTACGGATACGTATAATAGGTAATGCGTATTGCAAAATGAGTTTAAGATTAACGTAAAGGGCTACGAAACCGTATGCTGCAATTTATGATAAAATTAACATCCTAATGTTAGAATGAAAACCATGCTATGGGTTATATGACATACCAGTACATGTCACCTCCAAGAACTGTTATATACTTCAGAGAGAGTGTGGTGTAGCTGCTGTAGTTGGGAGGGGGTGTTGCTTGTGGGCCCTTTAATGGGGCAGTGACTTAAGACGAAATATTAAATTTCTAGCATGATCCAGCAATGAGAGTGACCAAATAGTAAAGTTAAACAATTAAGACCACGAGATAATGGCTGATTTCTACATTTACAATGAGCAAAACTGATGAAGAATGTGTAAATTCAACAATTTCATGCATCATCACATGGCATCGTTTATCGCATCAATGAATGTGTTCGACCACTTAATTTCTATGCAGATCGAATGAGATTTGTTTGTTGTTACAATTTTAAAGTTTAATGGATGATATTTGATCTAGAAATGACATAATTTGTTGGATAAAAACATGCGTTTTCGAATTACTTATCTTCTGTAACTTAGGTAAAATACCGCTTAGTGTAATAACAAACTACGTATAGGTATAGGTAAATGGGTTATTTACGCTAATCTTAAACTCCCTACTTTCAGAAGTATCGTTTACCTATCACACGTAATAAACTTACTCAATCACTCCAGGATTCATAGTTAAGCGTTCGAAGCGATAAAAACAATGGTAAATCATTATAGTTTTACATTTAGTGTTGATTCTCTAAATCAATCAAATCGAGGCAATTTTGTAAGGCGTTCACCGTGCAGTACATCCCATATTCTTCGAGTGAATATGTCATACTACGCAGGTGAATACGAGGTATTCACTACATCATATTTTTATGCTGAATATGCCATGCTCTCTTGCGGAATATGTCAGATAGCGCAGTTGAGTATGCCATATTAATTTGTATCACAAATACTGCGCAACCATAAATGTATGCCATATACCGCGTAACACCCCTCAATGATACAGTTAGTATTGGTTCATGAAAACACAGAACTAAATCCTGCACTAAGGGCTGTTGTAAAAAAGTCAGTCCAACCTATACTAGTAGGTATTGAACCCACGAACCATCGCTTCCCAGGCGATTGCTATCACATTTGGAATAGTAAAACCATATTTTTTGACCAACATCAATCTTTTAGCATCCGTTACTATCTTTGTTTATAAGTTTGTTTGGTATATGATTGTAACAATTGAATTAATTCTAATTTGAACTAGTTTTTCTTTATTTTTCCTGTACTGTATAGTGTATACGAAAAACGTCGAGAATGATAGATTTATTAGCTATGTATTCATAAATGGGCGCATGGCGCAATGGATAACGCGTCTGTCTACGGAACAGAAGATTCCAGGTTCGAGTCCTGGTGCGCTCGTAACACTTTTGTTATGTTTCGTTACAAAGCAAGACCTACTGAAAATGGATTCTAGCAAAACTGTCCAATATTTATCTACTTTTTTGACACTTGTTCAAAATGAGCCAATTTATTGTCCAAAACTTGACTTAAAGTGGTGAAGAATCGAGAAATAAAAACAACTTACCGAAAACGAAGCCCGGAAGTTCATCCATCTTGTCACGGTCAGCGTAACTAGGTGAGTACCAGTGAGTACTGAACTGCCTTTTCATTTTACATGTATACCTTCATATCTCTAAGACGTTTTAGAAAAACAGGTGTAAACTCAATTATATTTTGCAAGACGTCTTGAAAATGGTGGTGTAAACCATGGGCTTTCAACAAGATAAATATTGGACAGTTTTGCTAGAATCATTTTTCAGTAGGTCTTGCTTTGCAACGAAACATAACAAAAACGTTACGAGCGCACCAGGACTCGAACCTGGAATCTTCTGTTCCGTAGACAGACGCGTTATCCATTGCGCCATGCGCCCATTTATGTACACTAAGCTGATACATCTATCATTTTCGACGTTTTTCGTACACAACATAGTTTTTCTAAAACGTAAATAGCCAAGAGGGGGCCCCCAAGATTTTACTGCAGTTAACCCGGTGAATCTTTTCCGAAAATGTTTACAGTTCGTATGGTATAGTCAGTATATCATTTGGAATAATAGAACCACAATTTGTGATTTTAATTTACAAACATTAAACTTAACCCAACCGTGACTATCTTTGTTTATTTGTTTGTTTAGTATATTATTTGTAAAAATTTAAATAATTCTAATTTAAATTAGATTTTGATTTATCCTGGTATACAAAAAACGTCGAGAAAGATAGATCTACAGATAAGGACCCACGAACGGGCGCATGGCGCAATGGATAACGCGTCTGTCTACGGAACAGAAGATTTCAGGTTCGAGTCCTGGTGCTCTCGCAACCTTTTATTTGTTATGTACACTGGATCCATGGAATTTAGAGATTTTGTGTTGTCTGACTTGTTTATATGGAATATGGAATTCAATATTCCATTCTTACCCATTATAACATTGCGTTTAAAACCTTATTATTTACAATATACACCACGTTCCTGTTCTGGATTTGTCATTTTATGGCTTGTTTATCCACAGTTTACTTATAGTAAATAGTTTGAGTGACTCTGAGGCACATATACTGAGAAAACACGAGGATGGACTAAAAATTATGAACTTGGATATCGCAGTCGCGATCGGTAAGTTTAAAGCTTATATTCTGCTTCTAGTAAACCACCTGGCAGATTTGACCTTGTCTTTATAACCATCCATACGTCACCGAATAGAACTAGTTGAAAACGAAATCTTATCTGTAAATCGTGCCTACGAGAAAGAGGACAGGCTGTCTTTCCCATCCGCCATTTTTTGTTATCGTTACCGCAAAATTTTGCAAATTGCCTTGACGTAACCGTCATGCTATAAACACCGTGAGTAATCTCACCTAGGAAGGCAATCGTAAATTCTTCCAATGCGTAAAACACAAGCTTCGAACCCAGCTTGCAAAATTTCGCTACACCCTCCATCAATGGTTTTCAATTTATCTGTTGGCCTGGTAGGGGACTACAATGAGGAGACGGTTTTAACTGGCGAGGACCATTGCGTCCAAATGATGATGATGAAAATACAAAAATGATGATGACGAAAAATGAGGAAAAATCTTAGCTCTGTCATTATAAATTCACATTTTGTATTCCTCTAAACAGTTTACTGTATACTGGAAGCAGATCTAAGTGTACTATATTGTTTGACTTGTTTATATGACCGTTGCAACTGTTGGTACATAAAATAAACAATAAGTATTATCCTGGCCATTATATGTTATCATGTCACCAGTAATCTCATCTGGGAAGACAATCGTAAATTCTTCCAATGCGTAATAAACAAGCTTCGAACCCGGCTTGCATATTTTCGCTGCTCCCTCCATCATGGTTTTTAATTTATCTGGTGCCCTAAACATGTATAGAGGAGCAGTTGAAAAGTTTATGCCGTCAAATTTTGGACCTTTCGTTTTGCATGCAAATGCGCTGTCCTTTATGTATTGTTCTACATCTGCCTTGATCCAAGTTATTTTATCAAGTCTCTCTTTGATGAATTCATAGTTAACGTCTCTCAAGTATGCGTGCAGCTGACATTTTTAACGCTGGCCATCTGGACCAATGTATCGTCATACTTTTAACGCCGTAAAATCTACTTTTAACGCCGTAAAAACGATTTTATACGCCGTAAAGAATTACTTTTACGCCGTTAAAAACGATTTTTTACGCCGTTAAAATTCATTTTGAACGGCGTCAAAAATAATTTTTAACGCCTTAAAAACGATTGTATACGCCGTAAAGAATTACTTTTTACGCCGTTAAAAACGATTTTGTACGCCGTCAAAACCTATTTTTACGCCGTTAGAAATTATTTTTTACGCCGTTAGAAATTATTTTTTACGCCGTTAAAAATCTTTTTTACGCCGTTAAAAATTATTTTTTACGCCGTTAAAAATTACTTTTTACGCCGTTAAAATTACTTTTTACGCCGTTAAAAATTATTTTTTACGCCGTCAAAACTGATTTTTTACGCCTTTTGAAATTGCGAACGTACAGAACATTGTTAATCATTTGCGAAAAAATGTTTAAACAATGAAAACTAGATGTTTATCAAATTCCCGAGATTTGCATACAACCAAATGCGTCTGGCAAATAAAAATTCCAATATAAATGATAAATGTGACATGTACAGTGACAGAAAAATAGGGTTTTGGATTTATATCAATCAGTCGGTAAGTATGTCGAACATACACGTTCGTTTGTTCAATGAATACCAGATTGTAACGCTGGTTTTAATTGGCTGCCAGCTATACTTTTTAACGGCGTACAAAATCGTTTTTAACGGCGTAAAAATTAATTCTTTACGGCGTATAAAATCGTTTTTACGGCGTTAAAAATTATTTTTGACGCCGTTCAAAATGACTTTTTACGCGTACATAATTATTTTTGACGCCGTAAAAAAATCAATTTTGACGGCGTACAAAATCGTTTTTAACGGCGTTAAAAGTAATTCTTTACGGCGTATAAAATCGTTTTTACGGCGTTTAAAGTATGACGATACATTGGTTCAGATGGCCAGCCATACATTTTCCAGTTATATCGCCTGTAAGGAGTGTTTCCAAAAACACGTTTTTGTTATTTGGAACGTGTCGTATTACTCTGTCATACTGGCGCAAACACGCCAAACCATAATTGATATCTTCCATCGGACCACTGACCGTGGACATATTTTTATTTCGCATGATCATGTACTCCTTTCGCCATATCTCTGAATTCCAAATTTCCTCATGATATCTGATTTGCTCGTTCATGTCATTGCCTAACGCAAGGTACTCCTGGATCGTCGAGTTATCATGAATCAGGGGAAGTACTGAATCAGAGAACGCAGTCACAGTTTGATCGATTACTCCGCAATAAAGAAGACCATCTTTAATGTAGTTCAATGATAGGTCCCAAAAGGCAGCCGTTTCAGGCTCCAGAGCAAGTCTAATATGTTCATAGATTTTCAGTCTTTCATTTGGAGGGACGGTCCTTCTATTTATACCTATCAGTGAGCAGAACTCATTTCTCGAAAGTAGTTCCATCCCCGTTGCCTGTAACTTAGCCATGTGAAGTGCAGGAGCGTCTACATCTAACGCAATGACTTGTTCAGGGTCTGCAAGTAGCTTAGAAAGAGCGTGTGTTCCATTTCCTGCGATGGTTAGAATTTTATGACCAGCTCTGATTTGCATCAATTTGTTCACCTTTTCCATGTCGATGTAATTCTAAAAGTGAAAATAATCATATTATATCTAAATAAGGTCAGAATCCTTAGCTTGTAGAAGAAATGACATGTCCATAAACAGGCATGTGCATATGGGCTAAGACTTTTGGTGTATTTGAATCAAAAACAAGGAAGGTTGGTATATTTGATCTGTAATATTGACAACTTGCCTAATCTGCTCAGCGTTTCATGGGCTGGAGGGCATGAACCACAGTACAGAAATGCTCTTTGAGTAAGGCCCAAGTCCGATAGAATTCCATGACAACATACCTGGCTGAAGAGTAGTTCTTGTTGAACTCCAACTTTGAGTTTTTCGTAGCAAGATTTGTAACTATATCTAGTATCAAATGTTTGGTTCACAATTGCGGCAGTTTGTGGTTGCATCATTCGAGGCATTGTTGATTTCGTTAAGCCTACCACACATCTTTTCAACAATACTGTCGAAGTCATGTTGTACGTCTGATATGAAGGGGGCTGCTGTGAGATAATCGACGTCGCTGTCTCAACGGCCGTCCGACCTGTCTACTATCTCAGAGTCACGTAGGTTGAAGTAAACAATTTCAGGTTATAATATCTTGGATTATGAATATTTTCTGACCATTAATAAAGGTGAACATGTATCTTTTAGATCCATCATTATATCTCCAAGAAAAGTATACACTAGTACATAATGATAATTAAGTTAATCAGACTACTTTTTAAAAATGTTGACCTACTTTTCACGAAAAAGGCAACCTTTCATTCTAATGTTTAATGCATGTTTAATGTGTTTATTTCCTAAACGGAAATGTGGATTTCTCGAAACTTATTGATACATCGAAAATAAAGAATTGTAATTTGCATTTATCATTGTAAAAAAGAGGTCAACGTCATTGAAACATATTGACTGCAGGTTGATCGCACCTTCAATATACTGATATCACTTAGTCCGATTAAATCATTGTGTATACTTTTTTGGAGATAATGAATGCCATTGAATTGCTCTGAAAATGATCAGAAAATATTCATAATCCAAGAGATAACGGTCTGATTTTTTTGCAATAACCTACACGCCTCTTTGTTTTTTTGTTCTTATTTTAAGTTATGAATGTCACTTATAAAATGAAACCCACGATGTTCGTTCTCCAAAACTGAAGAAACTAACTAAACTTTACTCATAATTAATAAAGGCACATTATATTCAACCTATGGAACATGAACCCTACAGGAGATTCCTACATGTGACGTTTATAGTCAATAAATAATATAAAAGTTAGTCATAACTCAAATCACAAAGGGTAAGTTTTATTCAGAACAGATTCTTTGTCGTTTTAAAGTGCGTATCAATTACTAGATTAGTATACCACTACCAGACTTTATTCTACGTCACGTGGTATGAAATAAAACAAAAGAGATACAAAGTTCATTCTTTATTTTTTGAGGGACATATTTTTAACTTTTCCTTAGAATCATAGTTACTCACATACGAATAGATACTGAAATACTAGGCTCAGACCTTGAAAGGGCGAGTGTGCAAGTGAAGAGTGAAAAACATAGTTTCATCGAAACGTCATAAGATGAACGCTTGGTAGACAAAAAATAAAACGATCACCCCGGCCTCTATATCATAATTTTGAAGAAAATACTAAATAATCAATTTGAAGAATATCAATACGCGATTTAGTTATCAAAAACTTTTAGTAAAATATGCTCTTCGAAACATATTTCTAGTTTCTTTAGAGTGTCTCGGATCAATTAACGATATGAGTTTAGTGTTGTTCTATTGTTCGCCTAGAAAACAAAAAATTAGCCATTTTCTCCGCGACAGGAAAGTAGTAGACTAGATATTTTAAATTATTTTGAAGTGTCATTCTATCTACTAACAGGAAGGCTATTTTCTGGCCTGATTTCTACATCATGTAAACACTGAATGATATAAGTCAAAGATAATCAGATAATACGTTCTTTATCCTTGGTTCTGTTGTTTTTCGCATAGTACCCACGTTTCTTATTTTTCTTTAAATGCCTCTATAATTGTGAAGGACAGTAATGAGCAAATTATCAAATTATGATTGTTGCTAATTCTAAAATTGCGGCTAAATGACTCTATGTATAATGATAGGATTCCAATCTCAATGAGAGGTATTAGGCAAGGAATGTTATTAGATAAAAAGCTACAGTTTTGTGACATTGATAGTGACATTGACGTTTTAATGAAAATATATTTAAGGCAAAGTGTAAAATTCTTCTAAACATGGCAAGAAACGCCAGTAAATGAACACCAATGCATCATTTATTATACATCTAGACTTATCAAAGGAATTTCACTTGTTAGAAGACAAGCATATTAACAAGATTTGGGTCGGCCAAAGAATAAAATATGAAGTTCGTATTATGTTTGGTAGTTCTGTCTTTTAGCAGTGGGTCTCTCTATGCCAAGGATCCTGTACAGATATTGGACTATGAGAAACTATTCGGACTCAGTGATAAAGAGGAAGAACAAAAATGTAAGTTTCTTTTAATTTATCTGAATTGATATTGATTAAGTAAAAACTTTCGAAAGAAAAAAGTATCGTTTGAAACGGTGTCACAGATGGGACACGTCAGCAGGTTTATTGCCATGGCCAGGGATACTAATAGGTCATTTCACAGAAATTATTCTGACTTTTTTTCAACTAAAACTGAGGAAACAAAGAAGATAGTATTTTAACTCTTTGGTCATCATGTCCGTGGTGAAAAACTATTGCATTGAGCAAGTATATACTTTGGTATGTCACAAGTTCGTCAATTAAAATTGAATTCCATCGATTCGTACTCTTTTTCATCTTGGATGACCAAGGTATGAGGGTTTTCAATGATTGAAAATGAAACTAGTAAGCGAGTATGCTCTTTTTCACTTCAGATATATGTTCAGATATCGTCTTCGCATTGGACAGTTCGTGCAGTGTAAAACGACCAGATCGGATAAATATGATTACCGTAATTGAGAATGTGGTGAAGGGAGCAAAAGTCCATCCAAACCTAGCCAGGGTATAGAACCTTAATTACGACTTCTAAAAATTTGTTTCTAAATAGTATTTTCTGCATTTATTTGATTGAATGATTACGTAATGGCTGACCTCACACCTTTGTTTGGAGATCGGACTAATATCATGAAAACTTGTAACCAAGGAGGATTGGCTCCCAGGATCGACAATTGATATTTTCCAACAATGAAAACGTCGAAATGTCGTTATTTTCTGAATTTATTACCGACTATAAATTCAAAAGGAACAGTCCAAAAGATACATACCAATATCTCGATTATTTCTTGTGAGTTATGGAATTTTTTGTTTTGGAATAACACGATTCAAATGTTGAAGTGAAAAAATGGCGGTTGAATTCAAATTTTGAACCACGACATTTCCATATATGGGACAGAATATCGATGTTGCACTCTGGGAGCCATCCTCTTTGACTTGTAAAAATAGTTTTCTGAGCAGTCGACTTTTTTATTTATTTCAGTTCATAATTTGGGCTGATTCAATAATGCTCAAAATCTATAACTATGATAAAATACTTACTAGACATGCACGAAATGAAAATTATATAGCTTACTCTGCTGACTCTGCCACTTAGACCATTGTAATTTTAGTTTGGTCTTGTGAGATTTGACTATGGCGCAACAAAGATATTTGGTTTAGGGGAGTATTTCAGCGCTGAAGAGATCTTGAAGAAGTTATCAGATGTTAAAAAAGAGTACTCATTGAGAAGAACAATAGCTGAAAAATGTAAAACGTTCACGTGGGAAGCGCTTAGGATGGTTCGAGTTGATGATGATCTCCTCGGTAGTGAAAAGAGGTACAATGAGAAAACGGGAGAAGAACGAAAGCGAGTAGTTGTGATCATGACTGATGGGCGTCCATATAATACTTCAGGGCCAGAGGTAACCCTTTTCTTGTGGCTTTTATTTTTGTTATCATTTTAATTGTATCACACAGAATACAAAGTTAAACAAACCATGATGCATTTGCAAAAGCGCAATATTAATATAAAAATGACACTTTTGTATATTCAACCAATCATTCTATTTTCCCAGTTCAATTTTATTTTCAGAATGAAGAAGCAGTGAAAGCCCTCACACTGAAAGAAGGAAATCTGAACACAGAGAACGGAATACAGTCGATGGTTGTTCAAGTTCCACACATGAGAATATTGGAAAATGACACTGATATATTTACCAAACTTGTAACCAAGAAAGAATGGTTCATCCAGATTGCCGTCGGTGTCGATTTACAGGATGCAGGGAAATATTTTTTCCATGAGCTTGTGAAGAATAATGGATGTAGCTGTGAGTAGTATGCATCAATTGAAGAGAGAAGTCGTACGTGAACGTGTAGAATTATATGCTTCTGTAACGAGTAGATCTCTCGTCCGTAGTATTTACTTGTCCGACTGAGTTTAAAGGTTTGAGGAAATTTTTTTAATTGATCTCTTGAAAAACAATTGAGATAGTGTTATGAAATTGCACGTTCACGTAGTACAAATTCTCTTAAAACCTAACCTTATTGATTAGATCGGACACGTTTATCACAAAGCACCATGTGTAAGGGCCAGTATTTGCAAACAAAAGTTTTCACTTCTCAAAGAAATTATTGAAAAACACAATCAGAAAAAACATAACCGACGATAAAAAGAAAAAAAAAAAAAACAAAAGCCACTTACCACCACTCCCAAAAACCTCTGATAACAAAAAAGCTCGTTGTGGATTCCAGTATAGTAACACATGACATATAGGCGATCAGCCTGGGGGGTTGGTCGGTACCAAATCAGGAGAATAATGGCCATGGTGATTTTTGGGAAGGTCTAGACCCCTAGAGTAAGAAAATATGTGATAGCATTGCAGAAGTGGTAGCTTAATAAGTGTTATCCCCCATTTTTCAAAATGGCCGCCGGTGCGCTTGCTACCAAATAAAAGAAGTTATATCTAAGCATACTGAGAGGCAAAATCAGTGATTTTAGGGTCTAATTCTGGGTTTTAGGGGTCAATGATTTGAGTTATGCCTAAATCCAGGTCATCAAAACACTGATTCATATGAAAATCCAAGATAGCCACCAAATTTGGTTCAAAAACAAATATGTACTCATGATACAAACTCAAAAAACGTTTCAACATGAATTTGAAGAGTTTTAGAAGAGGTTTTAGAGTCTAAAGATTTTATTCATGTCTAAAGCTATGTCATCAAAGGATTATATACTTTATATTGAAATCCAAGATGGCCGCAAAATAGGTGCCAAAACGAATATGTCATTACAGTATTGGTATACGTGTAAGCTCAAGGAACAGATAAAAGCAATTTTGTAGACAATGAAAGGGTTTAGGGGTCAAGGATTTCATTATGCCTCATGTAAGTCAAAGTCAGCAAAGAATTGCTTTATATGGAAATCCAAGATGGCCACCAAAATGAAAATGTAACTACATGTATTGATATAAGCTCAAAGAACAGATAAAAATTTTGTAGACCATGAAAGTGTTAGGGGATCAATGATTTTATTGTCTTAGTCATCAAATAACTTGATGTGGAAATCGAAGATGGCTGCCGAAATGAATATGTTACTGTTAATATGTGTTCAAAGTGGTTTTGGAGACCATGTCTAGATTTCAATGGTCGAGAACTTTAATTATGTCTAAAACTTAGTAATCAAATAATTCTTTTATTTGGATATTCAGGATGGCAACCAAAATGGCTGCCAAAAGACTAAGTAATTTTGGAATACATTTATTTGAATATCCAAGATGGCCCTGATAGGATGTACCATCTCAATTGTACCCTCTTCATCGCAGCAATGAACTGGATTGTGAAAGCAGAAGAGTCCAAGTAAAGAGGTCTCAAAGTGAATGATGACACAAAACATCCTTCTTGCCAAGCCTTTATGGACATCATCACTGTTATGACCTAGTCATTCCCTGGAGCACAACAGATTCTAAGCTGCCTCGAGATGATGGCCAATTGGGCATGTATCTAGTGCAATCCAAGGAATCTTTTCAGCTGAGTGGTATACAAAGGCAGCTAATGTGCAATTATTCTTACTATCCATGATGAGATAATTGAATATCTAGGGAAATATTTTGATGAGTTAAAGATATCAACAGCATCTGTGAGAACTAGAAAAATGAATGAAAGCTATTGACCTTAGCCATGTAGGGAGTTGGTTCAAAGTCTCATACTTTCAGTTTGGTGTTATTCTCCTATGACTTTTCCAACTATGTAACTTCCATTACAACAACAGAGGCTGAGGAGAAAGAGCAACATCAACAGAGTAAGAAGGGGTGACTTGCAAAGGTTACCTGGGAGTAGATAGGCAACTTTGGTTTCAATAATCTCAAACAAACACACACCCCAAAATAAAGTATTTTAGCACTCTGGGAATCAGCTCTTGACAATGGACCAAGTTAAATTTTGGTGTATCCCGAAAGCTCTAATTGACTCTAATTCCAAGAAAAAAGAAAAAGAGAAAAACAAAGAAAATGAAAAGACAAAGAAAACACATATTGAGAAAACACAAATAAAGCAAGAAAATTGAAAGGCAGCAAAGAAAACAAAAGAAATAAAACAAAAAACAAAGGCAAAAATGAAAACAACAAAGAACACTGAAAAATATAGGGGTTATAACAGATAAAGAGAGAAATAAGCTAGAAAATAGGAAAAAACTTAACCAACAGCCAATTTGGCAGCGATTTTGGCAGCCATCTTTGATTTTCATCAAGACAACAATTTAACAATTAAAGTAAAAAGAAAAAAATTCAATGGTAACTGAAATCCTCAATCCCTAGATCCTAGTAAACTAGTCAATGATACCACAATCACTTGCCAACATCCTCTGTTAATGCTTAAAGATATACATGTATGTACATGTAAATATTCATTTTGGCAGCCATTTTGAATTTTAATATGAGGAAAGGTTAGGATGACTTTGGTAAAGGCTAAATCGAAAATATTTTCCCCTGAAATGTAGTTTCAGATATCTATTACGTACATTACATTTCCAATTTTTCTATGTGTGTATCCATTTTGGCAGCCATTTCAAATTTCTATACAAAGGTATTCTTTAATCACCTAGATTTATCCATGGATGGAATCTGTATTAACCTCTAAAACCCTATCATGGTCTGCAAAAGCACTTTTTTACTGTTCTTTGAGTTGATATAAATAGTTTACATATTCATTTTGGCACTCATTTTGGTGGCCATCTTGGAATTTCATATAAAGGATATCTACTATTTCTTAAATTTATACACAAATAAAATCCTCGGCCTCTTAAACCTATTCATGGTCTCCAAAGTCACTTTTTAACCGTTCTTTGAGCTTTTTTTTTATCTTATATCAATAGTAACATATTTGTTTTGAGACCCATTTTGGTGGCCATCTTGGATTTCCATATAAAGCAATTTTTTGATGACTTAGATTTTGACATAAATGAAATCCTTGACCCATAAAACCCAGAAATAGACTTCAAAATCACTGTTTTTGCCTCTCATTGTACTAAGATATGATTTCTTTTATTTTGTAAAAAGCGCAATAGCAGCCATTTTGAAAAATGGGCGATAACACCCATAAGCTACCACTCCTGCAATGCTATCACATATTTTCTTACTCTGGAAGTATTTACCTTGCTAAAAATCACTATGAGCATTATTCCCCTAACTTGGTACCGATAACCTAAATTTGGGGGTGAAGCTGATGGCCTAATATGGTGTAGTACTCAAATAGTTTAATTGTCTTATTGAAGGAGATTACCCGCGTCATACACCAACATTTTTTTATGCCCGCGATGCAAGTGAATTGCGTAATATTTAAATCAGTTTTCTCCCCAGTACAGGTATCACTAAAAAGAAGAACAAGCCCTGCAGTGCAAATTACATGCTCAATTGTTTTCAACAAAAATAGCTCATCAAAGCGCACTTACGGTCACATACTTCTTTTGAAAGCCATCACGGTTTATTACAATCGAACTCGTGTGGTGCACTAGCAACAAGCCGACGCGGTTGACACACGCGGTTAGCCGACACGATTGACACATCGTTATTAGCGGTGTAAGTGCGCTTGGGTGAGCTGTTTTTGTTGAAAACGTGTGACCATGTAATTCGCACCGCAAGGGCTTATTGTTCTTTTCCATGATACTGAGGGGGAAAACTTATTGAATATTATGCAATTGACTTGCACCGCGGGCAGTACATTTTTGATATACAACGTCCATGACTGTATCCATAATTTTTACAGATAAATGTCTTGGGAAGATTGATCTTTGTTTTGTGATGGACCGCAGTGACAGTATTCTGGAACCTGACATCAAGAAAACAAAGGAATTCTTCCAAGACTTAGGTGATTCTTTTCTTGTGGGCTATGACGGAAATAAAAAGGGAACAAAATTTACGAATGCAATGATTGGAGCACTGAGCTACAACCAATGGGTATCCACACACTTCATGGGATATCAATGCAAGGATAATGCATGCGTTCGTAGAAATATAGGAAACATCCCCGCAACAAACAATAGATATACCGAGACTGACCTGGCCCTAAAAGCGGTCCTTGACACATGTCTCGACAAATTCAGTACAAGGGGATACGGTATATCCAGAGTGGCTATACTAGCAACAGATGGAAACACGTGGAAGACTGATGCAAAATCTATTAATTCAGCCCGGACTATTGCGATGGCAAATAAACTTAGAGAAGCTGGAATTGATGTAGAGGTTATTGGACTCCCAAACTATCAAGAAATCCCTGGAATTAACGAATGGAAACAAACAGCAAGTCATTTTGTATTTGATTTGCGTCGCATAGCAGGTGCAGATCACAGTTCAAATTGGACTATGCCGACATTTGAAGACTTGAAGGCAATAAATGGTATAGTCGCTAGAAAAATATGTAAGGAATATACGGATGTTGGGAATGACATTTGAATAAAGAGCCACTCTGAGAGCATAAAAAGTGACATGTGACAAGTTGTTTGTTGATTGAATCTTTTATAATTGTTGAATCCTTTTGTTATTGAATGATGATGTCTTTCTTGTATTTGGGTTATTGCATTGCGATATATCGTGCTTCAGCATGCTGTACTACATTTCCCCATGATATAGGTTTGATTAGGTGTGTAATGTGTAATTGCATTGCGATATTGTGCAGCAAATGCTGTACTACATTTCCCTTTGATATATCGGGTGTCCCAAAAAAGCGTCCCGCTTTTTGAGCTCTTATTACTCTGTAAGATATAAACCAATTCATTTGAAATTTATCAGGGAGTAAGATAAGGATATCATCTATAAGTTTTTAAAAAATTAAATCAATCAGATGTACATTATGTGAGTATCGCCAAATACAAGATAGCATAGCAAGAAATGTAATATCGGAGGACAACTCACTTATTTCACCTTATAATGTTGATTGCTGAGCATCGCCAAATACAAAAGTTAAACAGCATAAGATAAAAATTGGTACAGCAAAATATCTTTTACTGTACCAACCTGTGTCTTTTTTTGGGACACCCGATATGTGTGTAATGTGTCATTGCATTGCGATATGTTGTGCTGCAAACGGCTGTACTACATTTCCATTTGATATGTGTGTGTATTGTGTCATTGCATTGCGATAAGTTGTGCTGCAAACGGCTGTACTACATTTCCATTTGATATATGTGTGTATTGTGTCATTGCATTGCGATATGTTGTGTTGCAAACGGCTGTACTACATTTCCATTTGATATATGTGTGTATTGTGTCATTGCAATGCGATATATTGTGCTACAGCATGCTGTACTACATTTCCATTTGATATATGTGTGTATTGTGAAATTGCACTGCGATATGTTGTGCTGCAAACGGCTGTACTACATTTCCCTTTGATATATGTGTGTATTGTGTCATTGCATTGCGATATGTTGTGTTGCAAACGGCTGTACTACATTTCCATTTGATATATGTGTGTATTGTGTCATTGCGTTACGATATGTTGTGCTACAGCATGCTGTACTACATTTCCATTTTTTATGTGTGTAATGTGTCATTACATTGCGATATGTTGTGCTGCAAACAGCTGTTCTACATTTCCATTTGATATATGTGTGTATTGTGTCATTGCATTGCGATATGTTGTGCTGCAAACGGCTGTACTACATTTCCCTTTGATATATGTGTGTATTGTGTCATTGCATTGCGATATGTTGTGTTGCAAACGGCTGTACTACATTTCCCTTTGCTATATGTGAGTATTGTGTCATTGCATTGCGATATGTTGTGCTGCAAACGGCTGTATTACATTTCCATTTGATATATGTGTGTAATGTGTCATTGCATTGCGATATATTGTGCTACAGCATGTTGTACTTCATTTTCATTTGATATATGTGTGTATTGTGTCATTGCATTGCGATATGTTGTGCTGCAAACGGCTGTACTAAATTTCCATTTGATATATGTGTGTATTGTGTCATTGCATTTCGATATGTTGTGCTGCAAACGGCTGTACTACATTTCCATTTGATATATGTGTGTATTGTGTCATTGCATTTCGATATGTTGTGCTGCAAACGGCTGTTCTACATTTCCATTTGCTATATGTGTGTATTGTGTCATTACATTGCGATATGTTGTGTTGCAAACGGATGTACTAAATTTCCATTTGATATATATTTTGTATTGTGTCATTGCATTGCGATATATTGTGCTACAGCATGCTGTACTACATTTCCCTTTGATATATGTGTGTATTGTGTCATTGCATTGCGAACTGTTGTGTTGCAAACAGCTGTACTAAATTTCCATTTGATATATGTGTGTATTGTGTCATTGCATTTCGATATGTTGTGCTGCAAACGGCTGTACTACATTTCCATTTGATATATGTGTGTATTGTGTCATTGCATTTCGATATGTTGTGCTGCAAACGGCTGTATTACATTTCCATTTGATATATGTGTGTATTGTGTCATTGCATTGCGATATGTTTTGCTGCAAACGGCTGTACTACATTTCCATTTGATATATGTGTGTATTGTGTCATTGCATTGCGATATGTTGTGTTGCAAACGGCTGTACTACATTTCCATTTGCTATATGTGTGTATTGTGTCATTGCATTGCGATATGTTGTGCTGCAAACGGCTGTACTACATTTCCATTTGATATATGTGTGTATTGTGTCATTGCATTGCGATATGTTGTGTTGCAAACGGCTGTACTACATTTCCATTTGATATATGTGTGTATTGTGTCATTGCATTGCGATATGTTGTGTTGCAAACGGCTGTACTACATTTCTATTTGATATATGTGTGTATTGTGTCATTGCATTGCGATATGTTGTGCTGCAAACGGCTGTACTACATTTCTATTTGATATATGTGTGCATTGTGTCATTGCATTGCGATATGTTGTGCTGCAAACGGCTGTACTACATTTCCATTTGATATATGTGTGTATTGTGTCATTTCATTGCGATATGTTGTGCTTCAAACGGCTGTACTACATTTTCCTTTGATAAATGTGTGTATTGTTTATATATAATATGTAGAGCTGCACATATTCCTTGAGCAGAATACGTTGTTTTTTTATTGTCCAAAAATTAGAGACAAAATACATGTTGACTGATCACATGTATGAATGTGGTAATTTTCATTTAGCAATTTTCTCGTTCCATGTATCTTTTGATTTAGTGGTCGAAGTTAACAACTTTTAAAATTTCAACCAGGAGTCGGCACATCGTGTGACCTAGTGAGAGAAAGGTACTTAAACAAGCTCGGGGATTATACACACGAAATAAATATGAGATTCATGGAACATAATCCAACTGATGTTTCAAATCTAGGAACTATGCTAAAACAAGGATCACTGGCGGATAAAATATTGGACTCAATTTTTTCAAAGGTTGCCCCACGTTTTTGAATTAGGGTCCCAAAGATTTTTTCCGGAACTTTTTTTCCAGATTTGAAATTTGGCCCTCGCCCTTGTTAGCTCCTAGATCCGCTAGTGAGGATGACCTGTAAATTCACAGTAACATATAATCAATATATTTTAAAATGTGCTTTGAAAACTGACCATTGATATCTGAAAATTGATGTCGATCCGTCAATAACATACGCAGGTGACAAAGGAAGATAGTGATCAGACTAGTGTCTAGTGCCATCATGTCTTTGTCAGGCGTCACATTCCGGGACATAATCTGATAATGAATATATTAATCAATTTGATTCAGACCAAAGCGCTATCTCCAGGAAAAGTGTATACGGTAACGAAATTCTTGCTTAGATATGCCAGCCATCAACAACCCGTGTTACAACATTTCCAAAATATTTTCATGATTTCAAACTCTTCCTGTACGTGATATTCCTTTGAAAATGGCTTATCATATTTCACATCAAAATCCCTTTGTCATATGATGCGTTAGAGTTAAACACGACAACATTTTCTGTTAAAAAACATGAGTGAGTTCTTAAAGGCAGAATCAGATCTATGGGGTTGAAAAAATTACAAGTAATGTGTACAATTGACCTACCAATCTATTCCTTACAATCTCAAATACAATATATCCCAAAAGATTCACGCTATGTAATGTTATGAATTGGTAAAGTTATAATAGGTTCAAAGTGCAAAAATTAGTGAAAATGTTTAAATTCTCCCAAATAATAAGAATGTAAATATCTCTAGTTTTCCTGAAATAAAGTATGCTCTTTGATGATTTTAAGAAAATAGACATGAAAAGGAATGACATGAGCAAGAAATATTCTAAAATGAAACAATTTTTGTTGGGCTGCTCGCTAGATCTGATTCTCTCTTTAATATGAAATAAAACGAGATTGCTAGACTCCATTTTGTTAACATATATTTTATACCATTCAACTGAAAATGTGTAAGTGCCTCAGTTAGGGTTGCACTAAATGCACTAAATGAAAAAGTTATCGAATGATAATGTTAATACAGGTCAATAATGCTGCTAAAACAATCATACTTTGACAGCCATTTTCATTGCGCATATTAAAGAGAGAATCAGAGATAGCGAGCAGGCTAAACAAAAAATTGTTTCAATTTTAGAATATTTTTGGCTCAGGTCATTCCTTGTCATGTCTATTTTCTAAAAATCACAAAAGTGCACAATTTATTCAAGGAAAACGAAAGATTTTTACAATAATGTAGTATTTTTCTATAAGAATGGTTACCATTCTTATTATTTGGGAGAATTTAAACATTTTTCACCCATTTTTGCATTTTGAATCATAAATAACTTCACCAATTTATAACATATTGTAAATCTTTTGGGAGATATTGTATTTGATATTGTAAGGAATAGATTGCTAGGTCAATTATGCATGTTGCTTGTAATTATGTCACCCCCTATAGATCTGATTCTGCCTTTAATAATTCAAATACGCAGACTATATCTATGTTAATATCAATTTGACATTTAGCAGAGAAATAACTCTTAAAATGTTAAATTTGAAAAGCATTGCTATTGGTATCTTAATGCTGACAGGGATGCACTTTTTAATCGACCGTTCTGTTTTTCAATCGAATAAATATGGCGTCATGGATCGTGGAATATCAGAGACTAAGTTACAGATACATCTTAAATCTTATAAAAATAACAACAGCAAAAGCAACAACAACAACAACAACACTTCAACAAAGACAGCGACAACAATGATAAAGACGACGACGGCGACAACGAAACTAACAACAATGTCAACGACGATGACAACAACCAAAACAAAAAGTGATAGTAGAGGAAAGAAAAATATTGATGGAAATGCAGGGAAAAATAGTTATGAAAAATCTCTGACATCGCAATTATTGGATCTTCGCAAAATTTTAAAGGAAAACTCTGTAGCAAAGAATAAAGAGCTGATACAGTACATGAATAAAAGAAAGAAATCTTACAACTATTCACAGATCTTCAAAAACATACTCTGCTATCCCAGAACAAAGTCTCTTATAAACTTCGAAAAACTGATAGTCAACATTGAGAAATCTCTGACTCGTATCAATTCAAAATATGGACCCATTAATTTTCTCTATGCGAACGCAGATAGACTACAAGAGCTTATAAATTGGTGGTTAATGGCTAAGTTTGTAGCAAAGATGGAACTTAACAACTTAATTGTCGCGACAGATAGTACAAAGCTTACACCAATCCTTTCCAAACTCTCAATAAACACAGTTTTTATCGACACTACAATAACACAAACCGAAATTGAACGCATTCATAAAAATATAATTTGGCTGTACAGAATCATCTTTTGGCGTCTTTTAAACTCGTATGGCTATGACGTATTATGCTTTGATACCGATGCGATTGTTTTAAACGACCCTATTAGTCATATAGAGAAGAATTATCCAGACGCTAGCATTGTAGCTTCGATGACCAACAAAGCACCAAAAAATGTCAATCACGAGTGGGGCTTTACCTTGTGCATGGGGCTTGTGTTGTTTAGGAAGGAGATGAATAGTCAACGTAAGTATCCTCTAGACACTGAAAGTGGTAATCGTCGTATTAAAGGCCTCGTGTAAAGTTCAAAAATATAGTTTAATCATTCAAATTTACCTTTCAAGACTTGAGAAACCATTTTAGACGTTTTTTGAAAACATTAACTTTGATCAAAAGTTGTTCAACTTATAATTTTCAAATATTTGAATTTCCCGCCATTTTAGAAACAAAAGTTTAGATCCTTTTAGATCATCAAATACAACAGATGTAAAAGTCAAGTCATATAATTTTGACCATTTAATCTATATATGATGTTATGCATATATAAACTTTTAAAGCATTTTTAAAAATGTGTAATGTCACGATTAAATGCTATGATGTCACTCAGGTGGCATTGTTTTTTCAAATTGTCATTTTTTCTCATACAAATATTTTCTAAATATGCTAGACTTTCTAAATAAAGCAAAATTGTTGGCCTAAGTTGAAAATAATTTTATGATGTTTTTATGTACCATTGGATTCAATAAGAATCAAAATCTTAAAATCCTTTTTTCTCTGAACCACATATCTACGTAAAATGGATTTATTTCTTGCTTATTTAATTCCCCAATATTACTTTTAATACAAATTTAAAATAGGTTAGGATGTATGTCATTTTATTTTGAATGAATTCACGAATTTATGAACAAAAAAGTCTTTCAAAATCTACTTTTTGAAATTAAATTGAAAAGTTTCAAGATGAAAATAAACTTAAGCCCCATGCTAATTTTAACGTGTCCAATTAATCCGACAATACAACATATACCAAATACGTATTCAGTGTAAAAAAATAATCAGCAAAAATACATGTATATCTGATTCGCGTTAGTCATGTATAAATTGAGACAAGAAATAATAGCAAAAATGGCTACAGAAGCCCGGTGATGTGTCAAGCCAAAAAGCCAAACATAAAATAAATGAATAACAATTTTACTCGGTGGTTCATTTTCAGGTTCGTTCTGGGGCTTCTTGGACGATATGTGTACGGCACGATTGGTACATGTAGTAGGCGACCAGAGGTTGATCAACGAGGTGCTTATTGGTGAAGGCATCAAGTGGAATGTAAATTACAAAGAACAACAAGAGAAGATCGACCTTGGTAACATACTAGTAACTGGCAAGACAACAGATGGTTTAATAGTAAAGGTCCTGTCTCCAAACGATTTCTGCAGATTAGCATGCCACAAGGGTCAAACGCAATATGTATGGCATAAACGAACTGAACACAAAAATTGGTTGCTGAAAAATGACTGGGAGAAGTTATTGACAAAAGTGAATGACATAAGAATGTTGGTTAATATGACCCTATATCTTGATTTAAAGGATTATAACATTGCTATCACAGACTTGTTCGATGATGAACGTCCAAAAGAAAAATTTAAAGATTTTGACCGTCAACGTTCATCAAATTAAATGGCTGCTCAATAAATTCACATCAATTCCTGATATACTTACATTATGAAAGTACAAATTCAACCAGTTAGCCTAAGTATCGATTGCGTTATAAAGGATCAAATAAGACAGCCAGACCATCGCAAATAATGCATTGACACACGACATCTACGATGATATTGGCTGATAGCATTCGAAACAAAATACACATACCGTAGGAAAATGATTTTGGTCCAGGAGTAATTGAAACTTTGTGAATCACTCTGGCGTTTGAGCAACTGAATCACGCGGTACTAACTTCGACCGTTAATTTAAATACCTACCGGATGTTTGAAAATCAAGGATTACTAGTCTCGTACTGCACCGTTTTTCTTCAAACTTGCTCCATTCAAAGCAAAACAAAAATCCAGAGTCGTGTTTATGGATATCTAGCTAAAGGTCTCTTTTAAGAAGCGAAGTTGAAAGAACGCAATGCTTTCAGTTTGATTCACGAAGTTCCAGTGGGTCAAACTTCCCTTTGCCTCCATAGGCTTTGATGATGGTTGTTCATATAGCATATACGATTTCAAATCTAAACTTCAGCGTGATTGACAAGATTATCTTTATCTTTTTTCTGTGTCTTTTGTTTCCAAACCTATCAATGATATTATCTTAGATGATGTGTTAATGGATATCTAGCCAAGGATTACCTTCATTTTGAGTTTTAGTCGCTCAAACTCCAACTTGGCTTGATTCACGAAGTTTCAGGGGCTCAAACTTTATTTTTAATCACAAAGTTCCATTTGCTCGAAACGAAAGCCTCAGTCACATTTGCTCTCTTCTAAGTTCACATACTCGATATCGTAATCGATATAGAAAATCTTCATCGAACTGGTTATTCCTTTAATTTTTGCTGCACGTTTCTCTGATTTTGGGAAGCTACGGCCGCCGTACGGTTGCCGTAGATCAAATGTGACTGAGACATAAATCTTGTTTCACAAAGTTTCAGTTTCTCCAATTTCAAATACAACAGAAGGCAATGATATGTAATGTAGTGGAGTATTGTTTTATTTACAATGAATGAAAAGGAATGAGTTTACACACAATTTGGCATATATATTTACAGCTGTTCTACAAACACGATGACGGTGACCATGCCCTTTAATTAATAATATTGAGGCAATCATATGATGATTTACTCATAGACAGGATGATATATACAGGGTGGGCCAAAAAAAACCAATACCCAACTTCAAATCAGGATAAAAATATTTACATTCAATATGGTACATTGACTTACATATCATTTTAAAGGTTGTACAATTTCAAACAATTTGGTATATAACACTATGTCATGAAATCAATAGTAAAGTTTTATTATACTTACTTGGGAGGCCGGGTTGCTATTTAAAGTCTCCAGATTTAAGGGAGAAAATAGTAAATCTGCGGAATTATGTTAATTTTTTATTTATAGAATATCATTCTTTTGTTAGGTGAATACATGCTTGGATATTGATATTTGCATCATTGTGTGACTAAATTTATTGTTTATGAATTTCAGTGCTGTTTAATAACATTTTACACTTCATTTATTTAAACAATTTTCACAATTGCTCAATATACCCCCACCCCCTCCCCTCTGCATCAACAATAAGCTTCAAGTGGTAGCGCAATCTATCAATAGCCTTATTGAGAGATCTCTATTGCAATTCATTTCAGCACTTTAGGATTCTGTTTCAGCTCATCAATGCTGTTTATTGGATGCTTTTGATTGTACCATTTCCTCGAGATGGCTCCATGTATGGTAATCAAACACATTACATGTATTATCGGGGCTGTTGGTTGGCCAAGCATCGAGGTCAATCAGATTGACACCTTGTTTGCAAAGGAATGCCAATCGGTCTCCTGAGATCTATGGTATGAGGCAATGTCTTGTTGGAAAATAAAATCCTCGTCACATACACATTTAATGTCTTTTAACAGACCCCTTTGAGTACTTATTGATAATATATAAACAACACTAAAATTCATAAACAATAAGTTTAGTAACAACATATGCAAATATACAAGCATGTATTCACATAACAAAATGATATTCTATAAATAAAAAATTAACATTATTCCGCAGATTTACTATTTTTTCCCTAAAATCTGGATACCTTAAATACCGACCCGGCCTCCCAAATAAGCATAATAAAACTTTAATATTGATTTCATGACATAGTGTTATATACCAGATTGTTCGAAAATGGATTACCTTTAAAATGATATATAAATCAATGTATCATATTGAACATAGCTATTTTCATTCTGATTTAAAGTTGGGTATTGGTTTTTTTTGGCCCACCCTGTATATACACTGTTGTATGTGGAGCAGATTAAGTTAAGGATAATGTATAAGGATTATCCTTAACCTTAATAACCTTATTATTTCTTGTAAAATCAAATCCGAATGCATTATCTAACTTATATCACAAACAGACTCTTATCAAATAAAGGCAAATGGTCTATTAAAGTTATTGGTCTATGATCTAATCCGGAAAGTTTGTAGATAAGAAAGTAGATAAAATTGATAACTTGTTTTATTCTAAAGAATGCACAGTAACAAGAGAAGGGTACATGTACATTTTTATATTGTTTTTAAATGATGGAAACTTGGCAAACTATCGAACAAAGTAAAGCCGATTTTGTGCCACACTGGTTTTTGATAGAGTACCAAGTGTGCATTCTTAAAAAACAATAGAAAAATAATTCACTCTTCTTTGTTACAACTGTACATTCTTAAAAATAAAACACAGTTTATTCTATTGTGTTGCTACTGAAGTGAGATTTAAAAAGGAAAAACGTCTTGTTCTTGATCTGTATATGTATAGTCAATCACACTCTCCTATCTAGTGAACCAATGATTAAACAGAATATATTCTAATGCTACCATGACAGTGGCTTTGAATAAACAATGTGGCGGGCAAATTGAGAAATATCCCAAATCTGGTAAAAATAGTCCGTTTTATCTCCAATTGACGTATCGAATCCTTGATAAAATACGAGATATGTATTCTATTGCTTTGCTCAATGATTATTTTGTGAAAAGTGGCATGGTCACCGTAGAAATGTTTGTTATGAAGACGTACATCAAGCTCAAACACTGCATTGCACAATGTTCATTGCACCAATTGCACAATGTTCATTGCACCAATTGCACAATGTTCATTGCACCAATTGAGAAATATATGAAGTTACAAACAGTAAGAGACTATATATAACGAATCATCTGTTTTCATATAAAATTATACTTTATAGACAACATTAATTTCAAAAGTAAAGAAATACACTTGCATTGTTAAAGGTAAACACGAGTATAATAGTTAATGAATATAACAGAATGAAAAATATTATTTTCAATATACTTCTATAGATCATAAAATTGGAATGCGATTTTACATAAAATATGCCTTGTTGTATTAGGAATAACAAATGCATTTGGTCATTTTACTTTTAATTCACATCATGGTCCATTAAATCACTTCAAATGCAAACCTACATTTTACATATCATGAACATATGATTGTACACAATGGGCTTAGTAAATATAGTATGTTGTATTAAACACGTAAATTCGGGACAGCATCTTTTCCATTCAATCGAGGTTGGGCCATGCAGCGGAAGGTAAGCCATACAATCGAAGGTAAGCCATACAACAGACGGAGAATGCCGAGCCTCTATGGCTGGCCAAGTGGTACAAAGTTACGTCGTTATGTTTACGACCGTAAGGTCGTAAATGTACGACCGCAAGAACGTAAATATACGTCCTTAAGGTCGTTATTATCGGTTCCAAGAACGTAAATTAACGACCTCATAGTCGTAATGTTTACGACCGTAAGATCGTAAATAAACGACCACAAGAACGTAAATGTACGACCATGAGGTCGTTAATTCACGTCAGTAAGGTCGTAATAACACGGTAGTGAGGTCGTAAATTTACGTCAATAAGGTCGTATAACACGGTGGTAAGGTCGTATACCACGGTCGTACTCGTAAGGTCGTAAATTTACGTCAGTAAGGTCGTAATAACACGGTAGTGAGGTCGTATATTTACGTTCTTGCGGTCGTACATTTACGACCTTACGGTCGTAAACATAACGACGTAACTTTGTACCACTTGGCCAGCCATAAGCCTCTCTTTTTGACCAATTAGAGACGTCCTCTTCACATTCGTGGTACCCTCGGCCAACTTCGTTTGCAAAGAAAATCTTCGGCAATCTCCGGCTATTCAAACTTACATACATGTCTCTCTTCAGAATGCTATTTCAATAGGAAAGATATCAATTGTTATTATATCACTATCATATTCCTCACTCTCCGATTGGTCCATGTCCTACACGTGACTAATACTAAGTCACGTGACTTCCATTGAATATCAAATGATGTAATTTTAGTTTTATATATCGAGTGAGGAATATAACAGTGCATAATAAAACAAATATTTAATTCTATTTTCGGTGAATACCTGTGACACTTTCACGAGATGTTATTCCACAAGTTTTGCTAGCCCATATAGAACAATAGAATATGGTTGGATATTAAAATATATTTAAATGTGGTATGTGCAAAGATTTTATATTTGATAGATCAGGGAACGTAGCTTGATACATCATGCGTGTCCCTGATTGGAGACAAAGAAGTGGCATTGTTTACTATGTTGGCTGTAATATTTCAAATATCGTGTAAACCAGGTAAACCAGCGATGTGTAGACCAATATACGATGTAATGGATTATCTACGAAATCTTAATTTATTTTCACACATAGCTAGGCAAGGTGTGTCTGATTCCAGCCAATCTGAACCCAGTATTTCATCTACATGTAACTACACTGCATTATATAACCAATCACCACACCCAAGGTCATTTGCTGAATGGTTGTCAAGGTGACAATTTGACTCTACAGATTGACATTGATACTTTACCAAATTGACCCTTGCAAAAAGTTTCATTGAAAATATATTCTTTTTGTGATTCCGTATCTTTAAGGTTATTTCGTACAAATTATTTTGCAATGTATGAAAAGAATTTAAGCCCAAGACTTGATGCATTGTGGCTGATTCATTCTATTAAAGGTTTAAAGGTTTTTATCATCATAATAATTCATTATATTCAGGCGTTGTTTCCTAAACTTTGCATTACCACTGTGCGGTCATATGCAAAGATTTGGAAATAACACATTCAGAGGAATGATTCAGTCCACAATACAATGAGTCAAGGGCTAAATCCTTAATCATTAGTTCAAAACAACTAAATATACAATTCTCTATCATAAACGTGACTGCTTACTGGGACTACAAAACAAATGTTATATACTTAATACTATAGAATTTATAACAGTAACTTATACTATAGCTATAACGTGAATACAGACTAATGTGAGCGAAATGATAACAATAACACTAATAACATTTTTTGGCTAATTAAATTAAACAATACTTGGCACAAATCAATTTATTGAATGTAGTATTGCAATTGAACCATAGTTCTCCGCGAAATATAACAGTATTGAACCAATAGTAGCTGGTTGAGCAAAATATTTGCATAAACTTAACATACTTTAAATCACATGTGTTGGGACGGTCAAAAGATGGCAGTGTAATTTGCCGAGACCAATTTTTTATAATACCCAACACATATGCTCTATACACCTCGAATACAAACATGCAAAAGCATAAACAATATTGTTATGTTCATATATCTCTCAAGGAGGATTGGTTTCCGACCTCCAACTGGACATTCGACCTTGACCTTGATCGATGACAACATTGAACATGTCGTAATATTCTGAAAATGTCGTAATATATATCGCAATATTCTGAAAATGTAATATTCGAAAATGTCGTAGTATATGTCGTAATATTCTGACACTATAACAGATAACTGACTATAAACTCATCATCTGTGATCAAAAATATTTGAACCTACATTTTGTTTTGTAATTTTTTTTGCTTGTAAAAAATGGTGGCTGTTTGATTTCGAATTTTGTAATCACGGCATGACTCCAAATATGGCAGAATATCGAGATGGAACCCTGGGAGCAAATCCTCCTTGCATATCTCTGAATCATTACGACCATTGGCCGCAATGGGCCTTGCTATTCCCAAAACTCTTCATATATCAATATTACATTAACTACAAGTGATAAAATTAAAACCTATCTACTTAAACATGTATATTTAAAGGCATTTGAATAAATAACATTACCTGTTGTTGATCGAACGCAAGTACAACCTAACTGTTTGTACTTCGACCAATAAGGAGTAGCAGTCTCTTTTTGCATTATCTTCACCCGAGGCCAGGAATTTCAATAATAAACGAAAAATCAAACGAGCCATGTTATGTTTATATACAAAAATGAAGCAAGAAAACACGCTTCTTATATATTTTATTATTGAATTTCCGGGATTCAGATCAAGTGAACTATAAAACATTAACGTAACTACTTCATGCATTAGTTTGTTTTCATCAAGTGTACCATTGCCGTTACGTACACGTCTAATCCGTTAACGAACAATAAAAAAACAGATACACAACGTCTCCATTAGTACAGAGTTGTAGGTCAATTGGTGACGCTGACTAATACACTATACCACCCTTCAGGAGTTTACCTTAAATCACTAGTATTCCCTCTCAAAAGTAGAACGTATCTGGCACTCCGTCACACATCGACGTTTAAATGTACGACTAGCACTGCAATATGAATATATATGTATTGAGATGACGATGGTGATGACTGAGCAGCTTAGGACGTGGCATGATGTCATGCTACAATACCACTCTCAGGATCTAAAGTAACCGTTCGATCACCATCACCATCATCAGTCTCAGCTGTTAATATGTGAGTATCGGTGCCCTTTGGTACGTCCTCGCGTTCGATTTCAATAATAGTACTATCCTTTGCTTTATCACACTCGCGCTTCAGTTTACGTTCTTCTAAAACTTTTTCATTAAAAGGATGATCCTGTCTGTATTTCCTATAGGCTTTTTGAATAATTTTTGCACACACTATTTCTCGTTGACGATGTAACGTTGAACTCACCGGCTCATAATTTTTACGCTTTTTCACTATAGTATCCTCCACATCTCCCGCGTCGGTTGTACCTAAAAAGTTCTTTGTCAATGCGTCTAGAATGTCGACACAATGTACCTTGTCATCTCGACAAATTGTTATGTCGAAAGATATAAGCTTATAGTAGTTTGGTATGGGGAGATACAGAGGTTCCTCCAGATTATCACAAAGTTCACTCATTTTCTCAAGCGGAATGTACTCAGTAGCCTCCGGGTCAAATTTCTCCCATATTTCATAATATACATCAAAGTCCTCCTGTGTCAAGCCTTTTTGAACATCCTCTGTGGCTTGACTAAAGTTTTCCAAGATAACAGCAATGTACATGTTGATTACGACAAGGAAGCTAATTACAAGGTACGTTATGAGATATGCACCTGCAAGTGTTGAATTGCCACAGTTATTTGCCTCTATGTCTTTCTGTCCAACAGCATGGATCGTGATATTCTCACAATTAACACCCAGCTCATCATTCATGAGTGCATCGAATACTCCATCCCACCCAGCAGATGTTGCAATTTGAAAGAGGATGATCATACTTCGGCCAAATGTCTCAAAGTTGAACATGTCATCTATACCTGCGGTGTGCTTCACCCGCATAAAGAAGTTCATGCCGAAAATGGCAAAAATGAACATAATCAAGAACAGCAGAAGTCCAATGTTAAATAGAGCTGGCATGGATACGGCCATCGAAAAGAGAAGTGTCCGTATTCCCTTAGCACCTTTCACGAGACGCAGGACACGGCCCACTCTGAACACTCGAACGACACGTAGTAACGTTGGCGAGAAAGACATCTTTGCAAAAATATCAGACATGAACAAAGCTGAAAAAGAATCAAGATATATCAACATTTGCATACAATTACATGAAGAGTTGTCATCATCAATTTATCACCTGGTTATAAAAGCTTATATACTAATACTTAATAGTTTATTTCATTCCGTTATATAATAACGGAATAATAAATTATTCGAAAATAGATGAATTCAAAGAGTAGTTTGAAAAAATTAATGTTGATGGATACAAATAAAATAGATAACAAATGGAAATCCTACTAACCTACAACAGAGAAGACTACAACAATAAAATCGAAAACGTTCCATGGTTGTTTGAAGTAGTACTGTCTCAGTGCGAATAGTTTCATAACGCACTCTAATGTGAATATGGCAATGAAGACTTTGTTGATGTAATCAAGCACCATGGTGAGGTCTTTCGACTGGTTGAAATGTTCGACAGACATTGTTGTCATGTTTAGCAGAATAATGGCCATGATAAAGATATCAAACTTCTGATTGGTACTAATGTCGAAAATGAGTGCTTGGAATTTGAACTGAAATAAGAAAACAAAAGAATGATGTTAATATTTTGAAATGTAATTTTATCAAATGATTCAGCATCATCATTACTAATATATATATATGTTATATGCAATACCGTAGCCAGTTTTTGTCAAGAGGAAGAGGGTCACTTTTGAAGAACTTTCAAAAGTGGTTCACATTTATCAACTTTACCCCAAAATCACTTGAAAGGTGCTCAGAATGGGAAAAATGGTAACTGCATGTTTTTGAAAGAATTTCTGAACAAGGGAAGGGGAGGGGGGATTTGCTTGCGCCCCCTGAACCCCCCCCCCCACCATCCCGACTCTTGTGGCTAGGGACCTGTATGGATTGCTGTGACAGTTCATTTTTCCTTACAAGACTGGGGAAAAACATTTGAAAAATCTATATTCATTAAGATTTGAGAGCACACTGATGTCAATGGTAAATTGGAAAATATTCCAAATATGTACGATTACATTTTGTCCCGCTCATTTTCTGTATGTTTACATCAGCATGGAATATATATACTAGTAAAATTGCAATTTGTAAGCAACTACCTGTTCTACTATGGCATACAGTAAATATGTAATTTGTACTTTTTTTTAACGATCATGACTTACAAGTTTAATATTCTTACCTTTGGTCTTGGTACAGGCTTCTGTGGTGCCTTCGATCCTAGTTTCTTCATGGCATTGTAATATTTCTTCTGGTCCTCGGTCATAAACATCTCTAAGGAGCCTCCTGACTGGAATGTAATTCAAAATGCACTTCTATATTTTCTTCTTACTATGTTAATTTGCCCATAAGCTATATTTTTATTTTGATACGTACGTCCATATCTAAGCACAAGTGCCAAAGGAGAGGACCAAAAACTGTAAAAAAAACTAGCAAGAAACGACAAACTCTTAAGTGTCAACCTGTCATAAGAAAAACTGACCATATATATCCCAAAACCATGATTTAACGTGAAAAAATTAATGTCTAACATTAAAATGCATTTAAAATACTTTGTATGAAATATACTATAGTTAAATACTTGCTTCATAATACCTCTAATGTAGGAAAAATCAAAGCACACATTATAATTACCGCCATTGTCACGAGATGCATCTAAGAATACACAGTCAAACTATAACTAGTGCATCTTTATATAATGTGAGATTTTCAAAAACAATAAAATGGACAGCACAAAAAGAGAGTAAAGCGCGCCAACGTTTGAACATTTTTAACACGTGTATACTAGGATATGGTCATGGTAATAATTGCTGTGCCTGTTCTTAAGAGAATTGTATTGACAATGGTTCTGTGCAGTACGTCACTGACTATGTTTGAGCATCACCCATATGTTTGGGAATGAAATTTGAAAATTGAAATTATCAAAATTTATTCAGTACGTAAACTGGGCACAAGCTCCAATAGCAATACAGCTCCCTATTTATCATAATATAAAAATGTAGAATTTTAGGTTTTAAATGTAGATCTCTCAGGATGTTTAACTATAAAGTAAAAAAGAATGTACAATAAATATAGGCTTTTCAAGTACTAGCTGTTTATCTTGAATAAGCACAATGGCATATACATATATAATGTAAAAGCAATCAATCAACATATTGTCCCTTTATGATTATATTGAAAAATCAGTATTTTGGAATTTAATAAATTTACCCGGTACTAATAATTTCAATAAAATGATCTGCTATGGTAAAACGAAGGAACTTGTTATGTAGCCAAAATGCAGATAGAACAATATCATGATCATAAAAGGACAATTTGCAGGTACATGTAAGTTGTTTATGTTACAAACATACCAAATATACACATGTGTAAAGCCACGACGATTTGGTGAACATGTAAACAGAATTATGCCTTCGCCAACAGGATGCAGAAAGTGGCTAGTCTAGCAGGGCCCTACACCACACTAAGAAAGCAATGGTTATTTACTTCAATGGAAAACAAGATTCTTGGCCTGAGCTTGTTGGTATGTCTTGGTCTATACATTGGGGCTTGATACCATTGTCATCCTTCATCAAAGGGCTTTACTTATTTTTCAATTCAGAAAATATGAAAAGGAGTGAAATACCCTTGGACCAAGGATGATCATTGCAGGTTGTTTAAACACTAACATCAGTGCTGACTAGCTGACCAATCACTGCACTGTAGCATCATTGGAGTGTTATATATGACCATTATATCTATGGTGTGTAAAGTTAAGTATGGTGAATAGTACCATGAACAGAGGTCCATGGTAGTACTGATGATACACAGAGTCGCATCCAGAAGCGGGAAATGGAAGCCACAGACAAGACATCCCGATATAATGATCATGTTGGTTACACGTCCCACCAATGTTACATGACTGCTGCCATATAAACAAGAAAGGTATCGTATTATTTGATTAAACAATTGCGGGTGTGAGAGAAGAAAAAAGACTGATTGGTGAAACTGGAAGCTTCATTCATAAAAGACCCATTCCTAATAAAGAGCTGCTCATATGTAATATATCAACATAAACATCATTAGATCAAAAGTTAGATCAAAGTATTTCATTAAGGGCTAACCAATAACTGTTCCTGTTTAAAGCGTTTGTCTCGCTTTTTAACGAGTACACACTTTAATAAAGGTACAAATTTCAATTAACTAGAATTTAAATTAAAAAATAGTTGAACTCTCTTAAAATCCTGGATCATATATTACTCGACCAGTTATGTACTAGATACATTTCTGACTATACAATAGAAGCCTCCAAGTCGCGTTCTGATTTATCAGAGTCTCCATTTATCTAAAGCTTTATTCCAAGGGACATTAGAGTCTATGAATCTCACAATGTCCAAGTGGTACTTAAATGAACCAACATGATCATATCTGTGTGGGATCATCATGCATTGGTGGTAAGCCATCTCCACAGTTCACACAGTGGAACTCACCTTCTTCTTTTGCATATTGAAATTATCAATGATGACTCCAATAAAGAGATTGAGGGTAAAGAACGAGCCGAATATAATGAACAAGACAAAGTATAAGTGATGGTATCTAGCTGCTTCACGCTCCGGTTGTTTGTCCTCCTGAAACGATACAAAATTAGATATTAGAAAGGTACTCACACTCAAAATTGGGGCATCATCCAAAAACAATACGCATCATCATTTCCATTGGCTACATGATTCTAGAACACATGGAACAAGGTTGATTTCTCCCTGATCTCATCTGATGATATCGGTGTCCCTAGAATTCATAATGCGTGTCATATTGGATGATGTTCCATTTTAGATTAATATCTTGATACATACCTTTTTCTTTTGCATATTGAAGTTTTCAATGATAACACCAATGAACAGATTCAGAGTGAAGAATGAGCCAAATATGATGAAGAGCACAAAATAGATGTAGTAGATCAAGCCCGCCTCTCTATCCGGTTGCAAATCTTCCTGTAATTATCTCATTGTTTATCAACCACAACTATGAAAAATAAGCTGAAAGCATTTTAATTTCTAATGATAGAACATTGGAAAGGAACACAGTTTAGATCATGTATGAAAACATGACGACGTGGTTGATTTCATTTGAATTTATTAAATGTATTAGTATTGGTGACATATTCATCAATATAGATACATTTTAAAATGATTGTTCTAAAAAATTATTTATTTTACATATCTTCAGGAGTCTAAGAATGTTAATATGAAGGCAAATTACAAATAGCAATATATTTTACTTAAAGTATATCTAAACATTTTTTCATTATCTAAACAGTTCTGTTGAAAAAAATTGCGATGAACCTGCGTAGAAATGATTAATTAAATCATTTTAATCATCTAAACGAATAGGAAAGGAGCAGGTAGGTTATCGCAAACAATTTCAAACGATTCTAACTTGAATTATGAATATTTTCTGATCATGAACATGGGTGTATCTTTTAGATCCATTCATTATCTTCAAGAAAAGTATATATAATGATAATTTAGTTAATCAGACCTAAGTGATATTGAAAGGGCAATGAACCAATCAACATACTTTTTCAAAAATGTTGACCTAATTTTTACCAAAAATGCAACCTTTTATTGTATTGTTGAATGCATAATTAGAATGTGCTTTGAGACATGTTCGATTTCCTAAAAGGAAAAGTTGATTGCCCCAGGGACTTAAAAGATATTGAATTTGGATGACCAAAATGAACTGAAACCAATGGATAGCATGAGATTTTTCAATGGAGAAATAACATGGGGAACACTTATCTTAATGGAATTAAGTTTTTCTTTTATGAACTATTTGATACATCAAAATAAAGAATAGTAATGCATTAAACATTGTAAAAAATGATTGCATTTTTGGTGAAAATGGAATCAACATCTTTGAAAAAGTGTGTTGATGGGTTTATTGCTAGTTAAATATCTCCGAGTTTGTTTGATTTTATTATTACTGTATACAACTTTCTTTGAGATAATGCATTGATCTAAAAGATAAACCTGTCTTCATTGTCAGAAAATAACTAATCCAAGATATAACCTTCTGAAATTGTTTGCGATAACCTACGTGCTCCTTTATGAAACGAATAGAAAATTTATGTTTCAATCTGTCTTTCACCTTTCCAACGATGTAGTTCAAAGAGTATAATATCATACTATCATGTTATGACATAAATTATTGATATAATCCAGAACATATTATCTTCACTGACAATATACGCTACCAAATTGTAAGTGCGATTTGTTTATAAAAACATTCGTGTAAAAAGTCCATGCATAGTTTCAAAACGATCATAAGCTTATACATCTTTTTGGAAAAATTCATGCAAAAGAAAATCTGTAATTACCTTAATATAGATGGAGATAAAGTAAGCAGATAATGTGAAACCAAGCCACGTGGGACAACATAATGAAACAGCTAGATAAAATAGAAAAACACGGTGATGGTACATTCAATTGAAGCACTGGTTTAACATAAACAATACCAGGAAGAATTCATCAATCAAAACACAAAGTACAACTTAATTGAACAAATTTGCAAGTGCGTAATAAAATAAAATGTGTCTCAAATATGATTAAAATTAATTTTCAATGTATATAAGCCAAACTCTGAAGGAATATGACACATAAGCTGGCAAAATGTAAAAAATGCATCGTGAGAAAAAGTTATCTTATCCTTTTCAATCCACAGACGGGATTTCGATAGAAAGATTGAAATTAGCAATGATGATAGCGATATCCAACCAAATCAGGATATACAGTTATACACCTTGTCCGTGATGTCTAAGTTTGAACATCATTAGTTATCAAGAGTTCATACATAACTCGGTTCAACGCAAGCATATATGACTGGGTTACAGCTGCCCATTTTCAATCTTGTCTGTGATATGGATGATATACGTTTTCCCAAATTAATGCATATATTATCGTCACATAAAGAAGTAGAGGCATAGAACTACCTCAGCAAGAATGAAAAATTAAGGTATAAAAATAAATCATTGTTCAAGGCAATTATACATACTCCCATGCAGTCTGTCGCATCAGCCAGTATCTGCCCCCATCCTTTAAATGTTGCCTGGAAACACACATATGTCCATTATGAAATTAAGCTTGGTACCTAAAGTAAAAGTCACAATAACATCACCCTTGCCCCATAAACTCGATCCAAATTATATGTTTATTCGTAGATGGCTTTTCAGGATTAGAGTTAGACACCAATACCCACCAATACCCACTGAAAGACTATACTCCTCGGCTCGTCATATAAATTGTTAGCTCAAAAACAGGTTAATATTGGGATTTGATTATTTAGGAGCAAATATTAGGATGAGGAATCAATAATTTAGAGCTTATAATGTGTATTTAGGAATTATATGTGATAATGCTTGCAATTTTGGTGGATTGAGCTCCCGCAACTAGCTATTGATAGAAGGTTAACAGGATCGGTGTAGTTAAAAAGAGGCCAATATACTTATTAATGTAATATTATTCATCTTCAATTAAAAGTATGAACGAGACATGGTAATTTGTAAAGGTTCGCACATATAAGCGGCATTACCAGCGATTCTTTTCAAGCGAAATCATGAGTGCACAATTGTTAGGTATATCATAATGGCTTATCTTGGTTAAATCTAGGGATATCAGTAATCGCTATCTTTATGTAACGGTGCCTCGTTCTTTGATTACAAATCAATTGATAATCTAGAAGTCAGAATACCCCATTAAGTTGAAATATTCAGGTCCATATTGACTCTATTGAGAGGTTAGGAAGTACTGACATCATTGATATTTTCCTTTGTATTGTTCCAAAATGAACAAACCTTGTTAAACAGGATTAATAATCAATATATTCTTATTAATTACTGAAAGCTTTATGTAAAGCAAGACGACTTTTGAACCTGTCGGGGCATGTCGTCAGTATGCAGGTCTCAAGGTAAATTGTTCAAGGCTGATGACTCATTCTTACCTAATTAATCTTGCAAGAGGGCCACATAAGCATTGCTGACATGGTTAAAGTTTACTCTAGAGTGCTCCCACGTGTAGTTATGAGTAATATTACATAGTAATTAATAAAGCGATTTGATTCACTTACAACTTGCAAGAGGGCCACATAAGCATTGCCGACATGGTTCAAGTTTACTCTAGAGTGCTCCCACGTGTAGTTATGAGTTATTTTACATCGTAATTAATAAAGCGTTTTGATTCACTTACAACTTGCAAGAGGGCCACATAAGCATTGCCGACATGTTTAAAGTTTACTCTAGAGTGCTCCCACGTGTAGTTATGAGTTATTTTACATCGTAATTAATAAAGCGTTTTGATTCACTTACAACTTGCAAGAGGGCCACATAAGCATTGCCGACATGGTTAAAGTTTACTCTAGAGTGCTCCCATGTGTAGTTATGAGTTATTTTACATCGTAATTAATAAAGCGTTTTGATTCACTTACAACTTGCAAGAGGGCCACATAAGCATTTCCGACATGGTTAAAGTTTACTCTAGAGTGCTCCCACGTGTAGTTATGAGTTGCTGTCATGTTTTCACATTCTTCTTTGGTTTTTACTATAGTCCGATTAAGCGTACGTCCATCTGCAAGTGAGAGATAAAATGGTTGAAATAATGAATACTGTTGTCTGACATTTCTCGTATTCTCTCGATCTCTCCAATTTGTTTTTATCTTTGTGCTACTATGCTAGCCTTGGCAGTTTAAAGAAGGCCAACTAGAAGTTGAATTTCCAAAGTCAACTGTAGTTAGAAATGAAGTTGTAGAAGTATAAATGTTATCATGGAAAATATTCTTTTTTAATTCTCAATAAATATTATTTCTTTATTTTACAATTTGCATCCATGGGATAACAGTACATTATTTTTGATATGATGGTGTATTAAAAAAGGTGTTTGATTGAAATACATACCAATATCTTTACATTTACCAAAGCAACCAAGGAATAGCTGGACTCCCATTATGCCAAATATCAGCCAGAAAATCAAACATACTAATAGTACGTTGACTATAGCGGGTATGGCACCGATTAGGGCATTCACGACCACCTATAATTTACAATTACGTGTCACTCTTTATTTTGCTTTAGTCTCAGGCTACTAACCACTGTAGCATTATATCAAAGTTATATATTCATGATTTTAATTTCATGCAAGATGTGAATGAATGAATCTTTATATAATTCACATTTCGATCTTAAATACATGCCTAATCATCATGTTTAGTGAGGATAATATCTGAGGGAATCTTTATGATACAAAGATAAATACTATTAACCTTCATTCCTTCCCATCGTGATACAGCTCTCAAAGGCCGAAGCGCACGTAATGTTCTCAGCGCTCGGAAGGCCCCTATATTGTTTAACCCCAAACCTTCTGCTGCGAGACTCACAAGTGAAATCTAAAGGTAAAGATTATTCATATGTTTTGGTGTAACAAAGGAGCACGTGGGTTATCGCAAACAATTTCAGAAGGTTATATCTTGGATTATGACTATTTTCTGACAATGAAGACAAGTTTATATTTTAGATCAATTCATTATCTCAAAGAAAATTACGCACAGTAGTAATAAATTCAAACAAACTCGGAGATATTTAACTAGCAATTAACCCATCAACACACTTTTTCAAAGATGTTGACCCCATTTTCACCAAAAATGCAATCATTTTTTACAATGATTAATGCATTACTATTCTTTATTTTGATGTATCAAATAGTTCTTGAAAGAAAAACTTAATTGCATTAAGATAAGTGTTCCCCATGTTATTTCTCCATTGAAAAATGTCATGCTATCCATTGGTTTCAGTTCATTTTGGTCATCCAAATTGAATATCTTTAAAGTCCCTGGAGCAATCAAATTTTCCTTTTAGGAAATCGAACATGTCTCAAAGCACATTCTAATTATGCATTCAACAATACAATAATAGGTTGCTTTTTTGTGAAAATTAGGTCAACATTTTTGAAAAAGTATGTTGATTGGTCCATTGCCCCTTCAATATCACTTAGGTCTGATTAACTAAATTATCATTATATATACTTTTCTTGAAGATAATGAATGGATCTAAAAGATACACCCATGTTCATGATCAGAAAATATTCATAGTTCAAGTTAGAATCGTTTGAAATTGTTTGCGATAACCTACGTGCTCCTTTGTACAAATATGATATCTTGTGCCATGTGTTTATATGTAAGCTATTTCAGTATTTGTCTTTCATGTATATTAAATAAGAAAGACCGAACCAATGTGCTAATAGTATAAATTGTGCAAATTGGAAAATTCTAGAATGAAAAAATATGATAATACAATAATTTTATGAACAGTAATACGTTTCGAAGAGTTTTGAAAAGTACCCATGCATTCAATTTATCTAAATGTCCCTACATAAGACTAGTTATTTTTGAATAAAAAATTGGCACTTGTGTGCTCACATATGTACGAGGAGTAAGCACATAAGGACATGTGGTTTTATAACATAACAAACAGATCGACCGTCATGCACTATTATACTATATATGTACGGGGTGGTGCAAAAATATGTTTAGTTTTTTAGTTTAGTTTAGTTTATTTCAAACAAATAAAAGGCCTCGGGCTCATAGTTTTACAAATATAAGAATACATGTTTACATCAATTTAGTAGCTCCTGCCTTAAATTAAATGCTATGGACCACATTGAAGGTCTCATGCCAAATTAATCACATACGTTTTGCAATATACGATTTTAATCGTAATCTGATTCTACATACTTTTCTGCACCAGCCTGTAAATTACCAACTACTTACTTATACATATATATCTTACATCATCTGCTTATATAGTGTGCGAGGCGTTTTAGGTACGTCTTAGCAAATATTCCAAAAAGTAATTTTAAGTTTTTGAAATTATATCGATATATTACCAGTGCACAAATTCTAACATTAATTCAATGTTAATAATTTCAGAACAAGTGCTCACTAAAGTGTCCAATCTCATGATTATATTCAAAGACTGGGTTAAATAGTTGAGTTGAAATCATTCAGAATATTGTAAACGATATTAAGCACAATGGCATTGTAATATGTTATGGTGGTTGTGTATGATATTGTGTATCAAGGAGAAATATGAAATACGTTCTGATAGCAAACTTCAAATATTAAACACTTTGAAAGCTAGATAATATCAGAATATAATTGTCTACTGGTATATATATATAATACAGCTTATAGAATAGAATTCGCTTTCAGCCTCGCATTGGCAATTTGGTATGAAGATTAGAATGCATGCAAAACTGAACAAATCAAAACATTACAGATCAAAGCACTTACAGACACAATTGTAAAGTCTAACCAGCACCAAGCATCCGTAAAGTACTTTTTGAAACCATAGGCTGACCATTTAATCAGCATTTCAGCCACAAAAACAACCGTGAAGATTTTGTCCAAAACGTAGAGCGTCATAACAAGCCACGGTCTGTCATAGAAATGAATGTCCTCTAAAGCCTAAAACATAACAGGTAGGTTGGCTATCATGCAGTTAATATGGGGAATGGTACACTTATCAACATCCATTCAGTTTGATACACATCATGGTACCTAAAGATGGGATGTAAGCATAGCAAACATATACCATCACAATAAAAATGGGATGAATTAATATCGAGGGAGGCACGAAGCACATATAAACAATCACTTACGGCTAGCCTATAAATCTAAAGGATAGTCACATTCAAGCAATCAATGTTGTCATTTTAATGAGTTCAGTTGGTCAGAACCATATCAAAATTCCTCTTTTACGTTTTGCAGGATAATGGAAACATCAACGATTCCCATTAACGTAATTTTACTGATTAACTGTGTCAGATCACTGAAACGATATCGATCTAATATATGGAAAAGGGGGCAAATGCTCACTCCATAAAGAAGGACCTCGATAAGGTGTAAGGTCATTTTATTTAGTGTATTGCAGTTGATGCCATGCTCAGGGCCACATCAAAACTAGCTGTACTCATAAGGTAACAACAATACAAATTGTTGTTCGGCTCAGCTTGACCAATACGATATCAATATTTTCCTGCTACATGTTGGTGCCATTATCAGTGGTCACATCTAACCAACTGTACGCATTATAGACAAAACAATGTGTTGGCTCATTTTGGTCAACATTCAACATGGCATTTTCCTAGAGACATGCACGCCTTCACCATAAATATCACACAATGGCATGTTTACTATAAATAATACAAACAATTTTAACTACACCTCAAAGATCTTTGAAAATATATGTAATCAAGTGAAGGGGTATCAACTATCAACAAAGATATTTGAGATAATTAGTTGTCGATACGATACAGATAAGCAGTTCCCTTTTCTCAGGACTTACTGCAACTATTATAAAATCTAGCCAGCACCATGCATCAGTGAAGTAACGTTTAAAGCCATAGGCAGACCATTTAAGGGCCATTTCAGCAATAAACACCACACTGAAAACTCGGTCCATAATTTTTAATGTGGAAACGAGCATTGGTCTGTCATAATAATGGATATCTTCAAATGCCTGCAAATTCAACAAAGTTTGATTAGTATAGAAAATTCAAACTAAATACATAATTCATCATGCTTGCATTACAACTAATTTAATGATGTCAATTGAGGTTTCATGTAACACTATTTTAATCCTTAATTAATAACATGAGTATACTTATAAGTGTACAGAATTCGAACACTTACCAATGCCATGCTGCTGACCATGATCATCCCAATAATGAAGGTCTCAAAATAGTTATGTTCTACGAGCTTGAACATATAAGTTCTAAATAACCAAAACTTCTTGCCGATCCTGGTCCCCATGCAAGCGTCGCACCATGGACATTTATTGGAACAAATGTGCGGAAAACAGTCTTCAGGTTGATCTAGGTACACTAATTCGACCTCGTTAATCTCAGGTGACATTGCAGGTGGATTGTCTATGGAATTGAGTGAGGCAGTGTCATCCAACGCAAGGTACAGACTCCCCTTTTCGTCCACAGGAGACACTGTTGACGTGCTTGGGACAGCGTGGTCATGGATATGCACCCGTTTCTTCGAAGTAGAAGTGAGGCTGTGTTTAGATATGGTCCCTTCCGATTGCGATTTATGGATGGATGTCCGACTGATTGGTCTTGTAGGTGCATCCTCCTTTAAGTCCAAGGAGATTAAAGAAGATGATGATGAAGAATTACTGTGAGTCGCCTCTAGTAATGACATCAATGTCTCAGGCTCCTTAGTCATTGAATTATAATGGTATGCAGCCTCCTAACGAAAAATATGCAGAAAACAAACCATATAACCAAATACACCATCACCAAAAGCAAGAAAAACAGAGTAAAGATGGCACACTTTGACAAAATACAACAACTATCAGGATAGGCGTTGCCACATGATTTATCAGTATAACTCTCAATTAAATGACATCCAGTCCAAAATGGGATACCCCTTTTTAAATCGACCGTATGGTATCGTTTTGAGAATGATATATACATATATAAAATCTTATGATAATACTATTCAAAAATATAGTGGCTTTCATACTTCTCCTGCTAGAGTACATGGTACACCAAACATAAGTACAGATCACATGAACGTAGATAGATTAGTCAAGATTAGAAATGTTAGTATCAAATTAGATATACATTACTGAATAATAAAGATACATTACTTAATTAGAAAACAGCTATTGCTACGAAAGCATATACTATAAAGTATAAGTGATTGATAGTTATGAAGATAGCTCATATTTAGATAGATATATAGAAAACATGCTAGGGAGACAATGATGTCCAAAATAACCTCCAAGATGATGATTTTAATGTTTACAGTTTAAAGAATCTGTCATTCTTTCTTTGAAGATTACTCGACGGAGTATGTTAAATTCATATTTGCAATTCTATTCATTACTGTATTTAGATAATGTCATAATTATATTCGATTTTTTATAACGTATAATATGTTCTTTGAGAGATATGATGTTGAACGCCAATAGTGCTTTCTCAAAACAATAAAAATGATTACCTTATTTGCCTCAATTTCTTTCCTCTTTAGCGCGTCTGAAATTATAAGTATATCGTATTTACCATTCCCCTGCGATCATTGCCATGTCAACTTGGTAATTAAGTATGGAAATATAGCATGCATACAATCTGTCAAAAATGTGGGCTGACAAAATCTCACCATATCATCCATATTATATGTTTTAATAGCGTTTCATGAAATATTCTTAAACTATACATTAAAATTCATTGCAAGATTGGCGCAGTATTATAAAAACGCCAGTTTCAGTCTTACCACTTTTTGGACAACCTGTAGATCGATAAAGACAATATATATCATTGTATTTACCTATGTTATTAGGATTGCCTCCATTTGTCCTATTTTCACATAATTTCCCATTTCTAATTGGTTGAACTTGTCCATCAGTAAATCCCATTTTTTCATTGAATTCAGTCAAATCTGTCTTTGAGGGTGTTGGACTGCTACTAGCACTAACGGGAACCGTCATTGGCTTCCGTTTTATTTTCACTTTGATGAAATACATGATCTGTGATTTACAATATGTAAAGAATCTGTTGATTCTTTCAGTGGCCTCTTGGAGTTTATTTTCTTTATCGTCATCCGATCGTTGTAGGTTATCTGTACCAAACGATGACAACAGCAAAGCAAGGAAAAGATTGAGGACCTGAAAATCCCTCCAACTGTTACTCGTAAGGTAAACTTACATTAAACTAATTCAACATTATGCTTAGAATTTCCTTGATAAATGATTAAAAACAACATGTATACAAAGTACTGTTGAATTAAAACGTTTCTAATGAATTCGAGCCTTGTTTTTCAGGCGCAACATGTTCTGTATTTAAATCAAATTGTGGAATAACTAAAATATATAGTTTTCTTACCACTAAATTTCCAACAACCATAGTCAATAGGAAGAATGGGATACACGTCCAGTCATTAACATGCATACATCCCCACATTGACTCTATGTATTCCCCACATAGCACTCGGAACACTATCATGAACGAATGAAAAAAGTCTGTAAAGTTCCAACGAGGGATTAAACAGTTTCCTTTATCGTCATACTCTTTAAAATCGCAGGCTTTTTCTTTATATCCACTTCCATACAGTTGCATCCCCATTACAGCGAATATAAATATGATAATTCCAAGTACAAATGTTAAATTCCCCAGAGCACCTAGGGTTCGTCCAATAATGCTAATCAGCAGGTTGAGAGTAGGCCAAGATTTTGCCAGTTTGAATACACGAAGCTGAAAAAAGACAATTCTGTAGATTTTCTTTTATCAATAAGAGAACAAAGATGAGCCGTGTTAGTGACGTTGTATATGAAATGTATATATCTTGCTATATTTCAAACATGGATTATCTTATGTTATACTTCAAACATGGATTATCTTATGGTACATTTCAAACAGGGATTATCTTATGTTATATATCGAACTTGATTATCTTATGTTCTATTTCAAACATGGACTATCTTATGTTATACTTCAAACATGGATTATCTTATGGTACATTTCAAACAGGGATTATCTTATGTTATATATCGAACTTGATTATCTTATGTTCTATTTCAAACATTGATTATCTTGTTATATTTCAAACATGGATTATCTTATGTTATACTTCAAACATGGATTATCTTATGGTACATTTCAAACAGGGATTATCTTATATTATATATCGAACTTGATTATCTTATGTTCTATTACAAACATTGATTATCTTGTTATATTTCAAACATGGATTATCTTATGTTATACTTCAAACATGGATTATCTTATGGTACATTTCAAACAGGGATTATCTTATGTTATATATCGAACTTGATTATCTTATGTTCTATTTCAAACAGGGATTAAATTATGTTATATTTTAAACTTGATTATCTTATGTTCTATTTCAAACAGGGATTAACTTATGTTATATTTTAAACTTGATTATCTAATGTTCTATTTCAAACATGGGTTATCTTATGATTTCAAACATGGATCATCTTATATTATGTTCCAAACATGCATTATTTGATGTTGATAATGTTCCCAATGCGACCGACATATCGATACTGTGTAGTCTGTGTAAGTTGTGTTTAAAACAAACAATGGTGATTTAGATTATCCAATCAATGTAGTACACAGGTCAGACACTTGTATTGTCAATCATATTATGTCGTTTAACCTCCATATTACTTAACTGTAGTATTGTAGCACTACTACCTATATGCATTTATGGAGCAAACTCAGTAAATTATTGTTCTTACCAATCTGAATGACCGTAAAACTGAGAGGCCACTGACACCCTCTAGAGGCAACTCTATCAGACTTAGTGCTACAATAAATGAATCAAAGCAGTTCCAACCATTTTTGAAGTATACCATTGGAGTCAGAGCAATTAGTTTGAGAACTGCTTCGGCAGTAAATATCCCAGTGAAAACCTGAAATAACATGTATTAACATACTTTTCTTATTTACTCTGATGCAGATAAAGGCACAGCATTTATCACTATTGAGGCTATACAGGTGTATACTGTTAAAGGTAAGATACACTGGTCCTGAAATATAGGGAATGAGAGGCGACCACAAATATAAGAGATAGTATGGCATAGGGTACGTTATATTCATGAATTCATAATTTCCTCAGGCCGGCTGAATGGTAGAATGAGTAAGGCATGAGAGACCTTCAATGTGAAAATTCAAAAAGGTATAATAGGGACACTGAAGCGAATGTGATAATATAATACTTACCAAATTTCCCATTTTTAAAACTTCCTTAAACTCAGCTGTCATGCCATAGTGGTCCAGTGACATAAATGCAGTGTTTACCAGGATACCTGTAAATAGACATTAATAATTTATCAACGCTATACATCGCATGGGCGTACCAAGATCGGGGGGGGGGGATGATTCAATTATACCTTGAATTTTGTTCACGATACCCAGGAAAAAGAAACTCGGAGGAAAGAACTATGTGATCTGGCGAGAGGTTGAGAAGCTAGGCTTCAAGTGCAAGGTATGATGGTGGAGTATTTGCAGTTGTACCCCCTAGACAAATCGTGGATACGCCCCTGCATTGCCCCAGCTCTATGGATGTCATATATTTTGTTCATTTAAAATGAAAAGTGAAATAGTATTAGTTATTTCCATAACTGGATCGTTGGACTGATTGATACAAATATCCATGATAATGATATGTCAGAAAAAGAGTAAACCAATAAAATAAAACAGAACAATGGAACATGCTTCCATAAGGATGATAATTACACCAGACAAGGTATCCCACGGATACAGTATGTCAAATAAGCTAGAAACACTTACAGAGTGTAATGAACAGATCCACAAAGGCATCCATGATGAAAAGCTTGACGATTTCTTGAAACTTGATGTAACATGGGCAGCACGTCCAACCACAGAATATCTCAAGCAACTGAGCTTTGATGTACTCCTTCCTGGTCATCCCTTCGTATTCGCTCATACAGCCTGCAAGCAAACAACTTAATTGTGATTATAAAGACTTGGTTAATTTAAAGTTAAGAAGATCCTAATATTTTAGATAAACAATTTGATATTGAGTTTCAGAAAATATATCCTCCCAACGCAGGGCTCATCCTCAGACATCATCCATTCTGCTCAGGAAGAAGGAAAGAACAAAGCGGAAGCTGTCTGGACCCATGCGTTAGGAAAATACAGAAATATGAATACTTAAAGTATGTTCTGATGTTGCAACCACCAAACAAACTTGGATAAATACATATATGCTCTCACACGGTTCTTTTTTAATGAATACTCGATATTTCTGTGTGGATGCTAATTTGCTGTACAATTGTATTTAGGATCGTTCATACACCATGTTCTATTCGTTCAGCTTACTCAATAGGGTTGTTGGGGTTAGTTGGTGTGCGTATACCTTGAATTTACCCTTAATATATTCTAACTATTCAAATGTGTTTTTAGGAGATCCGTTCTATTTATATTCACTTAATTATGAAGAACATGAAATTATAAGGAACATAAAATAAGAAGTAAGATAGAAAGAGAGAGGGGAGAGAGGACAATGGAGACGAAGTGAGCTAAGCTAGTGCTGTGTAATGCATAGAGGGTGAGACAATTCATAGAACAGCATTAAACTATGGTGGTTTCAAGAGCAATGAAGGTACCAAATTAAATTTTGTTCGAAGTGGTTTATTCTTGGAAAGTGTTTTTTAGATTTTTTGGAGTTTTTTCATTGTCTCACTTTATGTAACATGCTTATTGGTGTATATCCTTTAAAACAAATAAGTAAGAGTGTATTTATGTTATATGTAATTCGGTTTACTATTGCAAGAATAGACCAACTTAAAAATTGTGTTTGGCCCTTTCATACTCTTAATCGAACACAATATGAGTTTACCACCATAGGAATAATGCAAATAGAAAGAAGTGTAAGATATGTCGATACCTGATTCCTGTGAAAATAGTGAGGAGTTGTACGTAGTAGAGACTGGCATTGAGGAAATAACAGTATAGATTGATAAATTCGCAAAGATTATATTGCAAAAAGTGACGTTTATGCAAAGATAGATAGACAGCATTCTGATACATCTTCTTGTTTTTTAATTAGAGATATTCCAGAAGGGAACGAAGAAAAGGCTGTGGTTTCTCACGATGGATTGACTGGTAACTTAACCCCGAGTCAATTCAACCCAAAGCATCTCAGTTCTTTGTAGTCCATTAGTCAACTCGACTTAACCCGAAATAGGTTAAGTTGACTGGAGGTTGAGGTTACTAAGAAGCTCTTGGCAGGGGGATCAATTTCTGAATTAATAGAAGCACATTGCATTTTCACGGTCACAATTCACAGATTGGAATATGGTGTAAATAGGTTAATGCCATTCTAATCCTAAGTTTTTTAAATTCGAATAATAATTAATTTAACAAACATTGATCCCCAAAGTGCCAAGTAATGAACATGTATCGAATTATTAAGAATACTTCATAGGATATGGTCTTCTTTTCGTTAGGCTTATATTGCACATACTTTTTCGTTTTCCTGTTGACGCTACTTCGTTGTACAAGTCCTTGAATACCATCACATCTAAAATATAAAAAGTATTTCTATACATACATAGTCCGTTGTTTGTCTGAGCTATATCGATCCCTCAATATTTCTGGAGAATATATACCTATAATTTGTGCTTTTTAATTTAATTCATTTCGCATATCCTCATATTGGATATATTTCACTTAAAGGAACCGGAAAGGGTAGGGATGAGTTGCGGGTAAGGTTGGTTCGAAGATACAATTTATATTTCGCTCTCCATATTCCACCTTGCAGAAATGTTCAATAAGTCCAACAATTCGGACTTTATCTAGGTCAATCCTTGCTTTTCGATATTTCTTTTTTGAAATGACTGCAACTACTTCCAAGATTTGCTCAAACGTTTTTCATCCTCTATTTCTTCCGATTCCTTAAATTACACTTTAATTGCTTTTTAATTAAACACTTACCTTTCATGTCAAGGTACGATCCAGTAGGAGTGCTTCTTAGAAATGGATTATTTGCGTATTTTTCATCCTCGTCTAAACTGCTTATGGAAGACCCCTGTAAAACATCATGTATAAAATTATATATAATTTATTATGCAAATAAAAAAGATTAACCCAGAAAATTAAGACTTGTATAACTTTGGTAATTAGAAATTTAAATCGGATATCGTTTCAAAGCCTGTCAAATTTGGATCTCCAATTTGTTTCTTGATTTTTTACAATAATTCGAAAATTTGGGACAAAATGGGCAAGTGAGATATGGCAAGCAATTTTAAAGAGCTATAACTTTAGTTCTGAAAACGCAATGACCACAGAAACAAATGGGTCCATGTGTTAACCTCAACATGAGACAATATAATGACAATAAACTCAAATGAATTATCTCTTAAGCTGTCACTCAATCGCCCATCATCACCAATTTCTCCAAATTATGAGCTAATTTTCACCAAAAAGGCAGCACTTTATTTCAACTTTTATTGCAAAAGTACATTGTACTGTAAGACATAATTTACCTTTGAAAAGAAATAGGAAATAGTTGGCCTAAAACCAACATTCTCAATATGTTTAATGTACGAACATATTGGGCTATTTATAACATGATTAAATAATCAGTGACAATTTATTATATCTTGCTGCAGGTTACGATCGAATTTAACTGCTTATTCCTTTTTCAATAATCAAAAAGTTATCAATATATTTTTTGAGAAAATAAATCGAGTTAACGTTGCCCTTTTTAGAAAATGTCTTGATGATGTTAATGATACTAAACATATATTGTATTAAAGGTTAATATAATTAAACAGTTATATGTGATATACTAATACAAACTCTTATTAAAAACGTGTCTTCCCTGGGATTGGCGTCTTACCAATTGACCCTTATATACATATTCATAATAAAGTATTGGAGAGGATCAGACATTGACATTGACGATGCATTGGAGGAAATTCTTGCAATGAACAAGCGATTTAAAATGAGCATGCATATTAGATCAGTCTGCTTGAGCTTATCATTTTTTCTTTCTTATTTATGATATTGGGAAAAGAAAGTATAACAAAGAATTTGTTTGCTAATCAGCACATACTTACAATATCATCTGACTTTGTTCTATCTACAATTACTGCAGGTAGAAGAGGGTGCCCATTGCTATTCTTCTTAGTACTAGACCTGGACCCCGAACTCTTTTTACTTGCATTTCTTTCCCTAAATCTCTGGAAGGATGTAATACTAGCGCGTCTGACTGACTGTCTGTCTGTGAATGAGCCCGGTCGCCTATTAGTCCATTGCTCGAGAAGTGATCCAGATTTTTTTTGACTAGGTCGTCGCTCAATAAAAGATCCTGATCGGTGACTGTTATTTGATGAGGAACTAGCTCTTCGCTCCCGTTTCCCAATAGGGTTGCATAGATTAAGATCATCAGATGTTGGAGTTACTGCTGCAGAGTCATCAGCAAATGGTAACTGCAAATTCACTTTGTCCAAATATGGCAGCACAAGTGGCTGACGGTCTCCAGGGTGACGAGCTTTCCGCCAATTGAAACCACTCCCTGTTCTTCTATGAGTAAATGGTGATGGAGGCAAGCTCAAACTTGTCTGGAAATATGTACAAAATCAGGTAAACCACAATCATAAAGTAAATAATTAAATAAATTTAGTGAAATATGTCGCATAGATACGTGGAGGTATGGGAAGGAATTAGTATCTTAACTACTAGTACACCTGGATGTCCTTATATAGTCGTTTTATAGACAGCTGTTAATTTAGTAACATTGTTATCAATCCGATGTATATCGCAACGATCTCCCCCCTCATTCTCTAAAGCGAATTTGCAAATAACTGATCTAAGCTTCTTATTCTTCAAATTATGCAATACTAATGTAAAACTAGAAACCATATTGTTGTGTTGACATTTCAACATTTCAAAAATACCATAATTGTCTAACTTGCAGATTTTGGTTCAAATACTACGTTTATTTATGTACACAAGAATGAGTCAATTGAGAATATGATTATTTTGCCAGACCCCTATAATGCCTCGATGTCAGGCTACGAGAAGATATACCTTCCTATTGTGTCGAACTACGGTAAGTTTCTTTTTCGTATCTATTCCCGCACAGGTATCTGATTTTATGCTAAGCCTCTCAGCATCTATTCTGCTACTTTTGTCATAGTAGTCTAGTTGGTCAATATCAGACGAGATGCTTTTCTTCATATCAGAGACAGTCATGGCTTTAGCTTCCAAATTAGCCTGTAATACATCCACATAGCTCATTCAATGGATTTTGGTTCATAGAATGCCTTTATAATATTGTATGTTACTGACCATTGAAAGCGACATCGAGGCATCGCCGTGTCGACGACGAACGTGTAAAAAGATGAGATTAACAGTGAAGTGTACTGTACATGAAATGGGCTAAAGTTTATACATCAATATTTCCATAACATGCCCCATCTCCCTCATGGTGGATAGCTACCGTAAATATATTGTTTCAAATTCATCTAATTTTAAAATAGTTTAAAATTAGATCAGGTGAGACGCATTTTAAAATTTCAAAATGTTCAGTCTGAAAATTCCAAGTTTACAATGGAGTTCTTTGAGAAATATGATAGGAAACAAGAACCATGAATCACTATTTCAAATAGGCCATTTCAACCTACAATCCACAAATCAAAATTTAGACATGTACGTGACGATATATCAAAGGCCACGATATGATCTCAAGAAACAAACATTTATAATAAGCACATTGTTAAATAAATAACACACAACATACAACGTACAAATAGTAAACATCAATATTTTTGAGAATATTGAGTATATGATAACACACAAATACAATATTGTTTTAAGGATACAGACACAAAGACCAGTTTTACAAAACCATTTTTACAATCTGTTTAAGTCACATGTTTCATTTATTTCATCTTTAAGAACAAATGCAATATTTATTATATTCATCTTTCCATAAATATATTTTTGGTGCGAAAGAATTATGGTATTGTAACATATTCTCTGATATTTACATCTTCAACAACAGATTATAACATTCATTAAAGTACAACACCAAACATATCACTCGTACTCCATACAACTCTCTTTGATTCTCAGAGTGTTGTGATCTTCGTGTATGTGTAACGTATGATCAATGTGAGGGCAGGGAACATAGAATACACATCTTACAGGGTGTCCGGAAAGTAAAGATACAAATACTCTAATTTTAATAGATTTTGTTTTCTTGTATTGAAATTGCTACAGATTGTAGAGGAACTATATTACAATACATCTACCAACTTTTATAACATATAGTCTAAATGTGTTAAAGTTACGGTTGTCATAGTTACGGTGTTGAGGGGTATGCGGAGCAGTTCCAGGATATCCCTAAATTGTGATGAATTGCAACAATTTAACCATTTGAAACAGTGTTTATTATTGTATTTTTATCAATGTTTTGTTTTGTTCGATATTGTATTCTTGCTGCCATAGTATTCTCTTCAGTATAATGATATCAGTGATACATATCATAACTATGTAATGTCACCAGTTTAATCATAGAAAAAGTATAAGAGTGCTTAAAAAAGGGGTCCCTGGATTAATAGGAAAGTCAACAGTCCACCTCCTCAGTCAATGCACCAATTCACAAAGCAAAAGAAAACAAATCTTACAAGGATGTCTTGACATTAAACCTTTTTGCACAATGGCCCATATTTCCCTGATAATGGCCTGTTGGACTTCTACATTAATGAATAGTTTAAGGCAATATTTGTTAGAAGTTCAACATAAAAATGAGACTCGGCTGGATGCCAATTTTATCAGAAATCATAGAGATTGACAGCAGTGGTTTTGTCAAGTCTTTGAATCTCCGGTCAAAATGCACATTGGAAATACATAATACTGGATAACAGTAGTAGTGTCAAATGAATAAATAATGTTACAGTACTAATCCTTTGCTGGATACATAATCTGATGTATAATAGCAACAGACGATGGAGTGTCAAGATGATATGAACAGGAGAAAAGAATTATAAAACATAATTGTAATGCTGCTCCACATACCCGCAACTCCTGTTACCATAACAACCGTAACTTTTTTATTTTGAGACAATTTGTCATGACATTTGCAGGATAAATTATTATAATGTCATTCTACATTCTGTAGCAATTTCATCTCACAACAGATTTATCTATTGAAATTAGAGCATTTGTATCTTTACTTTCCGGACACCCTGTATGTAATACTATATTTTGATATAAAACATGCAGACTGAGTCGAAGATGGATTTGAACAATTTGCTTGATTAAAAGTATCAAATGAAGATAAACATCAATCAAAGCAAGGAAGGCATATTTGATATACAAGACATGAAGACATTAATACGCCACATAATATCGCTAGATCGAAAAACATATTTCACAACAGTATAGATACAAAGCGCTCCAAATATGATCGGTGTCATCATACGATGTAATGTACGTTACCAAATACTTGTTCTTTAATAAGAAAACAACAGACGTATTGACCATGAATCAAGAAACAATTTATATCATCCATATAAACATCAATAAGTTGATACATGGATTTTCTTGTAAATATTCAACTCCGAAAAATAATTTTGAATGTTTTCTAATTTTGGCACAAATGCTTTCTCATTAAAACAATGATAAGAAATTCGAACATATGTTGACATATTATACATTGCAAAATACGTAACAAATGAACATACCATATGACGACATATTATGCGTTGTAAAGCACATGGCAAGTAAACATAAAATAAATCGACATAGCATACGTTGCAAAAGACATGGGAAATGAACATAAAGTATTTCGACATAGTATACGTTGCAAAATACATTACGTGGCAAATACGTATGGACATGACAAATAAAAATTACATATTTCGACAAAGCATTCGTTGCAGAGGATGTGGCAAATCAACATTATTTATGTCGACATAGCATATTACAAACATTGTAAAAATGAGAATTGGACATAACGTAAGACATGTAAGGACATAGGCCTACCATACGTTGCAAAAGACATGGTAAATAAACATAACATAGGGATGTTGGTTTATTTGCAATGATCTTGGCAAGTTATCTAACATATTATACATTAGATAATTTGCACTTAATCTGGTTACTTCATCAATCACACACTCCTCTCCATAAGTTTTGCAACAAGTAGTTTTATTTGGATAGAATATCAAAGTCTGACAATTTTTAAATCTTTATCATGTATCTCAATTCCAATTGTTTTTGATATTTATGACATATTTGGTGATATTTAAAAAATATTTTTTTAATTGATCCAAAGGGGTTGTCACTATTACAAAGGGGAGTGTATAATGACAACGGTTAATTGAAATATCTCCCTGAAAAAAATATTTGGGTGGTCAGTCAACCTTATATTTTATCTTACAGGAACATCATGCAATTTTAGATACTCACTGAACTGTCATCAGCCTAGGCCAGTAAAAGGGACACACAAGCATAGTTATTACATTAGAAGCACAATCAGAGCTAAATTACGTCACCATATATCAAATGTGAAATGTATCTATGACTTTAATAGTACACCGGACAGTTTCTTGAGAATCATGTTATACTTTTGGCTATCCTCCAAATTGAATCCATCCTTGTCATTTTGAAGCTTAGCGAGTGTTTCGTTAAAAGGATAGTTAAAACTGAAACACGATTCTTAAGTTACAGTCCGGGGTACTACAATATATGGTGACCAACTTGGCTAACATGTAGCAACGTTTCAACAGTGAACTATAGCACAACAGATGTGTAGAATGAACATTTACATTCACGTGATGAAATCTCTAGAAAATAGGTACGATGGTCCAATTAGTGATGTGGATGAAGTTCTAGTAAAATCTACAATATGCAAGATCGAATAAGCGAGAACATATACATTTTCCAACTTCAGGTGTATAGTGTAATAGACTAATTGACGTTTCGATGACCTACTCATGAACATCTCTTTGTTTAAAAACTGTTACCTTTTGTAGAGTCTCCGCCCTTTCATTCTCATCGGCTTCGTCTTGGTCAGCCTTTTGTTGTTCATCATACGACATTGCCACGATGGCCAATATCAAGTTTACTAGGTAAAACGAGCCCATAAATATCACGAGGATGAAGAATAGCATATGAAATGGTCCATTGGCTCGAATCACCTGTAATATATAGGTAAAACAATAAGAATACAAATGCAGTGTGTAACAATATGACCTACACACCTACATCTACAGTTTACAAGTCTAAACATGTGAGATTAGGATGACATCTAGGTCATGAAGATTATTGGACTACATTTTATCTTGATTAATTCACTACAAGTTGATCACATGATTATGACATTTGGCTTATTAACGACATTAAATATTTTATATTGGAGATCAATATTTCTAGGGAGCTAATAGACGAATCTTAAAAGCCTTATTGTTATAAAAAGTAGCATGTCAGTACTTCGGCCTGGTTTTATTATTTTAGACAATTCCTTGTAATTTTTAAATGATTGATCAAGACCAATGTCATTTGTGGTACGATACACCGATATTTGGCAATTTACAACTACTTTGCTCGGCGTTATTGAGCTTTGATATTCTAATGAATGCAGTTTTTAATCTTTTTTTGTCATAGTCTTATCGCCTGTTTTTGCCATCACTGATTATAATGCAAATACCTTTCTGGTTGTAGAGGAATATATTATCTATTAATATATTATCTAATCGTAACCATGTTGATGCTTTGATTAGGGAAATATGCAGTGATTTTAATGTGATATATTCCTGTTTATTATGTTGTGACAAAATACCTTATTGACACTTTAGCGGATATGCTACTTTTCATACAAAACACAGTGGTATACTATCAGTACTGCCTCAAGGAGCTTATATCTACAAATATGCAAATAACCATTTATACAAGCCATAGAACATTTGTAATTGACCTGTATAATTAATTACAATAAAATGTTTCCTCACCAATTGATATAGGTTTTCCCAATAGTCTTGTGTCATCAGCCTAAACGAGCATAAAAGAGCCCAGGCAAAGTTGTCGAAGGATGTGTAACCATAGTTAGGATTTTCCCCAATATTTGGTAAACATGTGTAATTCTTTGGACAACTCCTGCAAATATGACATTAGTATAGGGATATTAATGTGCTCCGAGCAGACTAATTTGTTAATTATAATGGTATCTTGTTACTTAATATATACACGTACATAGTCCTGAATTACAGGGTATTCTCTTTGAAAACGTAAAGCTTTTATAATACATGAGATAACAAGTTGATAACTAAGACAACTAAGATTAAAGGGACAGTTTTTGAATACTAGAATATACATGTCATTCATTATATTATCTAGGTATTTTTATTATGACAATCAACTTTATATAAACATACATTTGAATAGATGCTTGATTGAATAATTATATTACATCACTTTTGCAATTAATTTCATTATCGTAAATGATGCGACGTGCACATATGGCCCCATTGTCGTGATTTTCCCAGTTGTATCATAAATAAAATTAGAACTAAATATGGACATCATGTCCATAATAATTAATCAAAACAACATAAAACGAAAATTTAAATCTTAGAATGATTGTTTCCTGGGAATCGGTTCCTTACTTACCCTGCGTCAGTATTGTTACCACAAACTAAAGGTGTGTCTCCCATCGCTTCATTCATAACCCAATGGGCTGAAAATGGAGCAATAAAACTACTACGCATTCAACTACTGTAAAATTAAATGTTGCAAAAATCATGACTACTTACATGGTGAAATTATGAAATCAAGGATTGGATCTGTATTATAAATTGTTTGGCTGAATTTATGTTTCACCAAGTCAGTAGCCATATTTCAGCTACTGATAAAATTGGACGACCATGTATACAATAACACTAACCTACATGGATATGTGCAACTAAAACTAATATTTTACATAGGGGAAGAACTGAAACTACATAGCATAACAAAAATAAAATAATATGCATGTAGGCAAGGATGTGAAGACTGCGAAAGTAAAGACCCCAAGCACAGAGGATAGGGACTGATCAATCACATATACCATTATCACCCATGCTGTATTCTCCAAACTATGTCTAGGTTATTTGATAGCGTAGGTATTGACTGAAAAAATATTCATAAGACAACACTTTTGAATAAGTGGTCGCCGATTATTTTGCAGCACATTATATATTTAATATTTATTTAGTATTTGCATGTGAGGTTTTGTGTATATAGTTGATAACAACTATAGCTTCGGAAAGCATGACACCATTCTCAATATTACCTCAACGACAAGCCCTTATGTATAATTCAAACATTTTGAAGATCGAGGTTTTAAAATACACGTGAAGTAAATTCATGACCATATTTGGGTTTGCCAAGCTATAGTTGCTCTATTCGTATAATGCTGCAGCAGGGTGTAAATGGTAATATGGTTGTCTGTCTCCATAGAAGGCAGGAAAGCCACTTACCCAGCAGGATCATCAGTTATTGTTCCATTTTCATCTTGACTGTAATTTCTACATACATTTGGCATCTGAGTGACAGGGTGTTCATACCAGTGGGCTAAAGACAGACAGAGAGCCACGTAGCAGATAATACAGATAGATTTGCTAATTAGAAAAATGAACAAGCGGCCGTCATCATCATCAGAGCATATGAGGGCTCCAAGAAGATATATGCCCAACAATCTTTCAAGATAAAATATATCATGGACTGTAGTATACATGTTTTTTAAAATACATTATACAAATATTTGATTCTTTTGAGGTGAATACCCGTGCAGCTCCCACGCGCAATATTCCCCTAAGCCAAGAGGGCTATGAGACTATTGTGGAACTTGGCTTCGTGGAATATTGTGGAAGATGCAAAAGTATTCACTGAAATAGTATGAGATATGTGATTTATTATTCACTGTTACATTACTCACTCTCAAGATCTTCACTGATGTTTTCGCTGCCCTAATCACGTCGTCTGAATGTGATATCATATAAATTTATATTTAAAGATCACTGGATGAAATACAAACCGGGGTATATGGTTGAGTTACACTGGACGAAATTTCAGCAGGGTTTTATGGTTCAGATTACACTGGACGAACACACAGCCGAAGAATAGTGCTTCTTAAGTCCTGGTCACGTTGTTGGACATATACCAATCAGACCAAAGTGAGGAATATGACAGTGAATAATAATGCCCTTTATTACCCAGATTTATCATATCATTACAGTTAGGTTAAGCATTTTCAAAGTCATCTTCACACTAGTATAAAATAGATAGCCCTTAAACATTTCACGTGATCACTTGTTCAACTATAAGAGAGAAATAGTTTAGGGTAATGTATTCGTTCAGTAATATAAGAATATCCTAGAAGCAGAAGTGGTGTGTGATGCCTATACATAGTTTAACCTCTATCAAAACAGTAGTTTAAATAAACAGAACAATAAAACAAGAATCATTCTGTGATTTTGAAGCGAGCTGGTGATGTATTTGAAGTAAAGTGTCACGCTAGATAGTAAAAACAAAAGAAAATGCTTCTTTTAGGCCATGTCGTCCTCCCAATGACCAAGCTGTCAAGGACACATAATCTTTATCAAATGTATATATCCCTATACTTATACAGTATATGCACTAACTAATCTGATACTAACACCACTAATTCCCTGAAAGCATACTTCTATTTCAAATGTTAAATATATGCATAGTGTTTCCTATAGTGAGTTATAACAATGGTTTGAATATTAATTATTTCGATCCCTTGATGAACTGAATTGAATTTTTAACTGAAAACATTTTCTAAAAAATAACACGTATTTGGTGCTATAACAGTAGCATAATAAGCGTATAATTAATTTTTGTTAAAGCGTTATGTCAACATGAATATGGCAGTGATTGTAGTTACAAGCAAATTCGATGATATGATATAGAAATATATTTGTGAGAATCATATCAATTAAAAGGAAAACAATGTTTTTCATAAGCTTTATTGTGACCACCCCTGACAGCGCTGTTGCAGCTTAATTATGGTCACCCATAATTACTTAAATATGCCAACCCATTTAAGCTTAGTTATGCCATCATTTCAGCTTAATTATGGCCACCAATTTCAGCTTATTAGGGTCACCCATTGCAATGTTATTATAGCCGCTCATGGTAGCTTAATTATGGCTACCCATGATAGCTTAATCATGGCCACAATGGCTTAATTGAGGCCATAATGGCTTAATTGTGGCCACAATGGCTTAATTGTGGTCACCCACGATGACTTACTTGGATCCTCTGTCCAGTTTTTCAAGACAGATTCTGACATATTGTAAGGAGCCTCCCATGGCCAACCTTCTGGTGGTTCTAATACACATTTGGTCTTGAGGGTTCCCATGTAGATCTGTAGCCCCACCAAAGCAAATATACTAAGCACGAAGATTGTAAGAATCATCACATCCCTTAAACGTCTTACAGCTTCCATTAAGGCACCAACAATGGTTTTCAATCCTGAAAGATAAGCATGTTATAATCAAAGTAAATCAAGTTTAAGCGTGGGATAGTCCTGAGGCCTCATTATCATCTGGTCGCAAATAGTTGCGTTGCGTCTGCGTTGCGATTGCGATCGCAATTCGTAACGCATGCGATGCGTGATATTATCAATTGAGCGCAATCGCAGACGCAAAGCAATCGCAAAACAATTAAAACGTAAGTTGCGATCGCAAGTCTAGAGTGTATTTTGGCGCGAAATTTAAAAGGACACTGGCGCTAGTTTTTGACAAAAATTCTCAAATTTTTGAAAATTTTGATTTTTCAATCAAATTGAAATCAATTTCACTTAGCTGTCAAATAACAATACAGTCACGTGATAGTTGCTGGGCAAGGGTAGCTGAAAAAATAAGTTCACTTGGTGTGGAAATGAGGACTAGAAAAAACGTTATGTAAGTCACACATCACTGAAAATAAATAACTGTTAAAACGGGAAGTTGTCATGTTACTGAAACTAACTGAAATAAAATGAACTTTTGGTCGTTGTTGTATGTGTTCTACAATGCTTCTATCTAAAATCCGTCAACATATTTTTTCAACAGACAATGAAACTATAACAGCTAATGAGTTTTCTATTTGGTGTATATATGCCCTCGGTTCTCAGAGATCAATGTCCCTCCCAAGGTCGGGCCATATATCACTGAGACCTCGGGCATATATGCCACGATAGTGACATAAACGATTTATAACATACCTATGATGATGTAGACTGGTCAGAGAGTACCGTTTTCTGATAGAATTGACAAACAAATGGTTTGAAAATGATTGAAATTAGTTTAGAAAAATTGCTCGTGCAGTTTTATCCTCGATTGATTGGTTATGACGTCAGTGCCTTGACCAATCAGAAAGTTAGCGGGCGCGGGCTTTTCAAAACTTATATTGGCCCGCTGTCTTGTGTACACTTTGCACTCTACATCATCATAGGTATGTTATAATTTACATTTAATACACATGCAAGAAAATTGCAAGTTGTGGGTTCCATATCGATATATGTTGAAATATGTCTCCTGTGTATTGCATTTATTTTCCTTTGGAACAAAATATGAAACACGTCTTTTGCATTGTGATCAAAGCAAATCATGTTTGAATCAGGGTCGGGATGATACTGTGAAAATCTACAATTTTGAGACGAACTCTCATTTCAAATTGAAAATCTAACTCTTTCCGACGAGTCAACTTCAATGCGATGGGTGATGCTTGAACAACAGATACAGAGTACATGTCTATGTAAAAAAGAAAATCGTGCTTTTTCATTTTTAAACTATTAAATTTAACAACTTGGTAATTTGCAGTGATATGCATTTATTCTATTATGTAGAATTAACAACGTTTCTATTCATATTCAAACTCGATCAAATAAAATGTCTTTAATATTTAATCTATATCTGGGAACATGGTAGAGGTCATTCAGAAAAACGAGCACCTCAAATACTGTACAAAGATACCACGGGAGTTCAACCATTGTTTTAACAAATCCATGTTCCAATTCATGAAGAAATGGAGCGACTTGCAAAGTCGGACAAAAGTGGCAGTTAACAGAAGGACGACCGGGATGAAATGATTGTTCATATTCTTTGGTGTCAGTTCGTCTTCAAAAAGGTTTATAACCTCTATTAACAATGCTCTCGGCATTCTGTATCTCTGGAGCATCTCGATGTCATTTAGTGAATCGAGTGGGTTAAACCTATCTCGAAATACTCTTCGGCCAATACGATTGTGGTGATCCAGAATGAAATGAAACATCTTGGTGTTCTTGTACTTTTGCAGACGATGTAGGTGAGGTACATGTACACTAGGAATACTCAGAACATTAGTGTAGTAGTGGCAAGATTAATTCACCAAACAAGCTTTATTAGCTAGATAAATATTTAATTGGCGAAAATCCTATGCTCCAAAGAGCACGAAATATTGCAGGCACCAATCTAAGACGTATACAGTATGTGATGCGTTCGCAATATTTAGAAACAAACGTGATTTTTAAGGATTTACAGGCTCAATTAAATGTATATTTTAATCATATTAAATAAATAAAATTTAACAATTTCTTCGATACTATTGATTAATACTTAACAGGTAGTGAAAGGACCGATATAAAACACCACAAAATATCCATTAACATAGATAAAATAACGCTCAAAGATGAACTAGATTTGCGATTTGATTTGCGACAGGGTAAACCTCGTCGCAACTTTTTGTTCAGTTGCGATCAGAAAATCGATAACTTTGCGTCAGACTTGCGATGCGATGGAATGATAATAACATTTTTGGGAAATAGTTGCGTTGCGATGTCTTGCGATGCGATTCGCATGCGATTTTGCGTTGCGACCAGATGATAATGAGGCCTCTGGTCCGGAGAGTGGCAGCCATTGTAGTCTCAATATGTACTTGGAGTTTGCCATGTTGACGATTAGACGAAGGTTATAGTATAACATTAAATTACGTTACGTTATATTATATAAAATTATATTATACTATACTACACGTATATTGTATTGTATTATATTATATTATATTATTATATTATAAAGTTATCGTATAATGTTTTTGTAAAAATATTTATCGTATAGTCGTTTATACTATGGTATAACATTTTATTTAACGTTACATCATAGAATGCTATATTCGTAGATATGATTACCAGGTACAACAGCAACAGTTTTCAAAGCTCGAAGGACCCGGAAAGTTCTGAGTGCAGATAAGTTCCCTAGGTCCACAAACATTGTAACATAACTGCAAAATATAAGGTAAACATAATTAAGTAAGTCATTGGAGGTTGATTGCATTGGATTTTTGTTCGCAGTTTAAAACGAAAGCTTTAGCCCGAGTTCATATCAAACACAGACAAATCTGGGTCAATTTATTAGTACAAAATGTGAATAATGAACAACTTGATAAAAGATTTAAGTCTTGCATTGCGTGCTGAATCATTCCATTAAGGGTGTTGTTTCCAAATATTTGCATGACCGCGCAGCGCAGTTTTGAGCTTAATTCTTTTCACACATTGCAAAATATTTTCTACAAAATCACCCCAAAGATACAAAATCACTAAAAACATAGTTTTAATGAAACGTCATGCAAGGGTCAATATTGCAAAGCAATATTTCAATCTGTAGTCCAAGTTTTCACCTTGACAACCATACAACAAATGCGTTATTGGAATAGTTGTAAACTATAAAGCAAACATGAGAGATAGAGTACTTGTCGTTATAGCTATTGGAGGACCCATAATAGCTTATATATCGAACAATTTCTGGGTCTCTATAACTTATAAGAAGCACTAATTATTAGTAAATCTATAAACTATTAACGTATCGAATTACGAATGTAACTACCTAACCTAACTTAACGTAAGTTAAATGAAACTTCAAAAGAGATATTATGTTATCAGTTTTCTGAAATAAATTGGATCGAGGTAGTGCAACTTGATTATGGCAGTAAGGCGCGTAAACTTTCCAAGGACGGGTTAAAAATACCTTGTGTGTTTATTAATCTAGGAAGAGAATCCCTAAGTAGCCGAGACAAAATGAAATCTTCATGGTGCGATCCTATATATATGGGTTACATTTGTGTGGAAAAATTGCTAAGAAAGGATAAAAATGACAAAAATAGAGCCAACGGTCCAGAAATTCCCAATCACCCTTCGTATTGTACGCTTTGCAGTGCTAACGTTTTAAGTGACGTACTCTTTGAAAACGTAAACGTTGTACTTACGCTAAAACAATGACTATGAAATCTAACCAGTTCCAAGCATCTCTGAGATATGTAAATTGGGCTAGTACATAACCGCGAGAAAGGATCTTCACGGCCGCTTCAAATGTGTATATAGCAGTAAATACAGGCCTGGAAGAAAGGTTATGTAATGTTTATTTCCATTTTATAAATACAAATATACAGCAGTACTAATGGTCAAAACATGAGATTTAGGAGTAACGGATTATGAACCATTGTAAATTTCTCATATTGATAGATTTACAGTTGCACACTATAAACAGTTAGTTTAATCATACATTATTATGTAACGTATAAAAAGCATAAAGAGTTTTATAAAACTTTTATATGAGATGATTTAGAGCTCACATGGGTATATAACGTTAACGTTTCTTGCAATTATGTCACATCACACTTTCTCTGATTCTTGTTTATAAAGTTGTACTTACTCAGACTCCTCTATCGGGTCAGTGAGAGACATAAATATACAGTTGGACAGAATAGTTAGCATGATTATCATACTGAACATTCTGGAGAATGTTATTAAGGCATATAACAGTATTAAGAGTAATAATATTCAGTGCTTAAATATTTAGTACAATGTTATCAGGCCCGTAGCCAGAATTTGACAAGGGGGGTTCACTTATGACACTTTTGGTCCAATAATGGTCAAAATCACTTCAAAAGTGCTCAGAATGGTGAAAAACTGCATGATTTTGAAAGAATTTTTGGCCGATGGGGGGAGGGGTTTCTTTCGAACCCATCGAACCAAATAATCAAGTTCAGTAGAATAATATTCAGTGAAATGATTTTCAGTACAATAATAGTCGAAGATTGTCATTTAGGGAATTCTTACTGTATAAGTTATGTGCTGACATCTACTCAGTCTGCAATGTATATATTATTATTGAACCTTACTAAAATACCAATTAAATATAGCAATCGTCTATGTTTCAAGTAAGAAAATATGAATTTGTTTCAAGTGATTGATTCTGCTAAGAGCTATTTATTTGCTTTGGATTATTGTCTAGTACACTATACAAATGATACAAATCGTGGAGTGGTCAAAAATCAATTTCAAACTATGTTGGGCTAATAAAGGTATCACAGTCTTTCATTTAAAATGACAAATAGTGAACAATTATATTTCCTAGCTTTAGAACTATTTTCTTTATCGCAAGGATACGGATGGCAGAGAACGTGCATGGCGACCCTCCTCGCTGGGTTCCAGGGCGTCAGCACAAACAAGGCATCAGTAGCACTGAATCGGAATAGCGTCTTATCCTTCCCTATCACGACAAATGTCTGAAAGTAAATATATTCATATTTGTAATCCACGGGGGTGGTATGAAATAATGGAAACTGGACCAACAAGTATTCTCTGCAGTAACATTAAGTGTCCGTTTACAGAGTAAATGTAATATCTCATCTTAGCAGACACAGGGTGTAGGATGTGATAATAACATAACAGATCCAGTTCTGATCCGAAAAACATTTATTAACCGTTTTGGCCCTTTGTCTTTCCACCGAAGTTCAGTGAATGACACAAGATTTATGACGAAATGACCCATTTAGGGCCCATGCCTAAAACTATAGCTACCTAAGACGCGTCTAGCTAATTAAACACAACGATGATATATAGAATTTTCTTAATTGTTTTCATTTACATGTATGTATATTACACTTAGATATGCAAAATTATAAGAAATCAAGGAATCTCTTTTACTTCATTTTTTGTCATTTTTGTCAGATTTTGAGACAAATCAAAACACCAAACGAAATTTTTAGAAGCTACAATAATGGTGTACAAAAATGAATCATTTTTATCATATAATTATTGTATCAGGTTCACTAGTACTGCTCCGGAGACATGTTAGGAATGTAAATATATATATAGGGGAGTCGGAGTGTGCGGTTTAGTTCGAGAAATGACATATATGTTCATTATTCTTTATTCTCAGCACTGTTCTTCATGTGATCAAAAATGGGAAAACATGCATCAGACTTATTCCTCGACACGAGGTATAGCATGCCTTTATCAAGGCAGCAAATTGTAGAAAACTAGTCATATAAATCCGACCGTTGTATGCTGTTCTTCGATGTTCCTTGTTCTTATTTGGATATTTATTTTGTATCATTTTCTTGGCAGATACGATCGTAGATATAATATGGAACAAATTGCGGGAAACGCTTTCCTGGCCTGTCTGGGTATCCATACCAACCAAAGTCACACAAATTATCATTTTAATATTTTGCTCCAACATCAAACTGTTAAATCTTACCTTAGACATGTAAAACGCTTGATAATTGACGAAATATAATCAATTGAAGTTTATTTTCATTATCGCCCGCCATGTTGCTAAATTCTGTTTCCGGTAGTCTAAATGTAAACATGGATCGAAACGGAATCATAATTATTTATTACACAGAGATTCAAAAGCTGTTCTTGCATACTATTCACTTTTCTCATTTCTGAAACAATAACTTCTCCACGTTACTTCCCTTCTTAATGACACTGCGTTTCTTCCATCTGAATCTTCGTGTATCAAAGATCAGGAAAATCAGGAAAACATTTCAGAAAAACATGTGGGTGGGTTGTTTGCATCTACCCTGTCTCAAAGTAGAAATTATTTTATCATCTCTAGAAGTGATTTTCCTGGAGGTAATGCATTCGTCTAACATATGCACCTGTTGAAATCCCCAGGAAATGACCAAAATCCAACATATGACTGTCCAAAATCTGTTGCGCTAATTTCCCTCCTCCTTTGGTTGGCCATGGGTATACAGGCCACGAAAGCATTTCCCGCAATATAGAAGCGCTAGTGTGTTCGACCGTATATGCCAATAAAAAATAAATATCCAAATAAGAAAAAATAACAATAAATACCAGCATATGACGGTCGGATTTATTTGACTAGTAGAATACAACCTTTTATTTTTTATGTTTAATCTCAGATGACAATACCACAGTGGATTAACATTTAATACCTTCACGTATTATTTCCCTGTAGTGATAATCAGTTTGTGATTGGTCAGTCATGTACGATGTAACAAGGTATTCCATCAATGTATAAGTCAAAGGTGTATTAAAAAAATAAATAGAGGATATCCTATGATTTATGAGTGATATGATTTTTATCCACGAATGGATATGATATCTGCACGAGCGAGCGTAGCGACAGAGTGCAGATATCAATATCTATGAGTGGATTAAAATCATATCACGAGTAAATCATAGGATGTTCTTTTTATTCCATAGTTAAAGTCATCATCAGAATCGTCGGAAATTAAGTGATTTAATTCGAATTTTCCAAACGATCAGGCGATAATGACACTTAGCCTCGTTTTGAGTCTGAAGTAGCAAAAATCCATAAACCATCGCATACGGCGCCGTATGTCATGGCTAAAAACCGTATGCTATGGTTAAGTGAAAATTTGTCAAAAATATCATATTTTACCACTGATTACAAAAATACCGTTTTTATTTTCACATGTTATCCTATGAATATCATGCTAACTATGGAAAACATATGGCATTATTTATCGAATTTTCAATTTTTGAGACACTATAATTATGAATATTGTTAAACTGCAATATGTATTTCTTCTTTTTTACTCAGATTTTGATATTAACGTAAATGAGTGAAATAATAAAACAAATATTGAATGATGTTTCGTGCAATACCTGTATATATTTCATTCAACATCATTCAATATTTGTATAGTATTATTGCCCTTAGTTGTAGTATTGTTTTAATATAAACTCTGTAATTTGGATAAAGGGATAACTATATATAGGCTATTTAATGGGGGGGGATTCAATATGGGTTTTATTCCGCGGGACAATATGATATTTCCCGATGGAAATATTGCAAAGTAAACGCGTTTTCGTACTGTTCAGTTAAGTAAATGTTATAAAGTCGTTTTCAATTCCATGAGTAGACAATTTTCTAATAAAACCGATTTCGCAAAATGAAATCACAAGAGTTTGTAATAAGAGAAATAATTGAGTATATTAATATTATGTAATACCTAGCAAGCTAAAAACGATGAAAATGTACAGACTGTAGATACTGTATTGATAGGTACAGTATAATGTATTCAATAAACATCGATAATCTTTTCTTCAAATAAAGACAAGGGAAAGCAGGTCGCGATGGTTTTCTTCTATTAGTTCAGTGCAGTGATTAATATGCAGTAGTGAGTGCATAATGGTCGTCAGTAAATAGTCATACTGTTCTAACAAGACATTGATTTGTCTCAGGTATTTCAAAGAAGGGCAATGAGGAGCACGGTATGTCTCAATCTTAACTTGTTGATGGTTTTTCGAATAAAGGCAATGAGGGGTGGGATAGGCCTCAATCTTAACTTGTTGAAGGTATTTCAAATGTTCATGACAATGGTGCGCGGTATTCCTCAATCTTGACTCGTTGACGGTATTTCAAGGAAGGACAATGGTGCGTGGTATTCCTCAATCTTGACTTGTTGAAGGTATTTCAAAGAATGACAATGGTGCGCGGTATTCCTCAATCTTGACTCGTTGAAGGTATTTCAAAGAATGACAATGGTGCGTGGTATTCCTCAATCTTGACTTGTTGAAGGTATTTCAAAGAATGACAATGGTGCGCTGGTGCGCGGTATTCGTCAATCTTGACTCGTTGAAGGTATTTCAAGGAAGGACAATGGTGCGTGGTACTCCTCAATCTTGACTTGTTGAAGGTATTTCAAAGAATGGCAATGGTAAGGGGTCAGTATGGCTTGATAAAGATGCATCACTTACTCTTTTATCATCGTAATATTCATCAAGCTCCCCAACTGGCTTGCCCACTAATTCTGGAGGGAAATATGACTTGTTGAAGGTATTTTAAGGAAGGACAATGGTGCGCGGTATTCCTCAATCTTGACTCGTTGAAGGTATTTCAAAGAATGACAATGGTAAGGAGTCAGTATGGCTTGATAAAGATGCATCACTTACTCTTTTATCATCATAATATTCATCAAGCTTCCCAACTGGCTTGTCCACTTATTCTGGAGGGAAATATGACTTGTTAAAGGTATTTTAAGGAAGGACAGTGGTGCACGGTATGCCTCAATCTTAACTCGTTGAAGAAAGACAAAGAATGACAATGGTAATGGGTCAGTATGACTTGATAAAGAAACATTGCTTACTCTTTTATCATCATAATATTCATCAAGCTCCTCAACTGGCTTGCCTACTAATTCTGGAGGGAAATCCTGCAACTGCAGAGGAAGTTTGGCCCCAGCCTCAAGTTTGGGATTTGGCTGAGGCTCGTTCTCAGGCTTCGAGGATTCCAGGTCATCCGGATGTTCCTAAAACAAACAAGATAGCTATTGATCATAATACAACCAACTTAGGTTTGCACTCTTCATATACTTGACAATATCTTGTAATTTTGAGTAAATAAATCTGGAAAATAATTTCAAGAACAAAGGACATGGCAGGTAAATTTTGAATACCGTTTAAAGATGACGGCTCACTTAGTTTACATGTAGGTTAATGTCTTTATAGATTTCATAATAAGTAGATGTGCATTTACTTGGGTAAAAGAGAATGCAATGAGGTTCAAATACCCCTAAGGTCAAAATGACTGAATACCAATTGAGAAGCTAAGTCTAATGTTCTAAAAATATTGAATTGATTTATCCCAGGATGTCAGTCATGCTATTTACTACAGTCCTTAAGAAACAATGGCAGGTTATTTACAATTTGCTTTTGCTATTTTCTATGTATGTATCATTATATAATGAGTAAGAGACGAGATTAATTTTAGCCATCAACATTTAATAACAGCTAGAATTGCCCTAGCAGATATTTGGGGTAGAATCATGTGTTTATCAAATCTGAGCTTGATCGTGGGATTGGTTTTAGAAATATAAATCTCCAAAGTGTCCACACTTATGGTACTTCGAAACATAACTTCACTGTTAAGTCGTATATCTCACAAAACATCAACTGAGTACATAGCCTTTCACATATATATGCATGTACTACTAGTACCATTATATTAATAGGTATATTATAATAAGCCAGAATGACACCTGGAGATAGATGTTGAAAAGTGATAGACATTTGTTACATCTGTCTGAAACCAATAACAAGTGTGAATGCACGTCACTGATGAGATGAAATGTACTATTAATTTTATGAAAATGCCATTATCATGACGGGTTGTACTTATAATTAATGCCAGAGGAAGACTTTATAAAGAATTATACATTATACCTCTACATGAATTCGTAACGTTGATTCAAAACAAAAGTTGATCAGAAATCTCAATAAAACTATAGGCTTTTTGTACCATTTAATGTTTCTTTTTGTTCCACGAGACACTGTTCAGAGTACCCTGCGTGCAGAGTCTAGTTAAACTACGAAGACGAAGCTCTCTTTTAAGAAGTGAAGTCAAACGAATGCAAAGGGTATGTTCAGAGGAATCAGAAGCGATAAAGAGTTTAAAGTGTTGAAAACAAAGATTTTACAATGTTCCTAATTTCAGATTTTTAAGAAAATAAAAGGATTATCTCTTTAAAAATGGGCATGATATGGAACGAGGAGCGAAAAGGAAAATTGTAGAATTGTGACTGTGTTAGTACTTTTCGCCTTAACGTTTCCATCCCCTTTAACCAGTCAAACGAATGAAACCTCATATATTGACCTCATAAGCCTTTCATTATAAGTTATATTCAATTTGTGAATGCAAGGGCTACATGCCTATTCTGTATGAGGAGCCCAATATTAACAGGGGTCATGTTTTCTTTTACACTGGCCTGTTGATAACAATGGTTGCTGCCTGTGTTATCTAAAACTGCAGCCATGAAGGTGAACATCCATCAATATAATGTACTGCTTTCCCATAAAAAATGAATAATAGTCATTCGTCCATTTACCATTCGACAGGCATCCAATGTGAATAATACCCTTGAGAATTGGCTTTGCATAATACGCTTGTCAATTATAACATTTACATTTAGAATGTTTAGAGATCCCAAAATATGTGAGTCTGTGTTTATATGGAACAAATAGTCTTGTACTGGTTTAATTCAACCAATGTCAAAACAGAGGTCTTTATAAACGAAGTGTTTTTTCAAGCTTAAGTTTGAGTAGTTTAATATTAAAGGTTACGATTCCGAGATGAACATTTTTGTATTTCACCTATAAGAAAAGTCGTTTTGCGGACCTATATACTTTTGAAAAGGAATGCACCTTTAACTTTGTGATCAAATATGGGACAAAGGATGAATACAAACACACTATTAAACCAATATATTCCTTCAGTCATGTGAAATACCTTGATGGATCTAGATGGGAATACGTGAATTCATCTGAGAATAGCACCATATAGACTGAAGTAAATGTATTGACGTTTTAATAACAACTGAACAATGCTAGCTATTGCATCGAATGATTCACTACACAAACCATCCCATTATTTCATACATATTACATGCTCTTTTATTATATGGCATCGATGAGACTCTCTGTCCGTGTATTTAGTACAGCTATATTGGAGGGATGTTGTGCCTCGTCAAAAATTTACAAAACGTAACATTTAGTCTTATTTGTTACTGAAACTGTAAAATGATGTCCAAAAGAAGCATTATATCATTTTTTTCGTTCTTGCCTCGTCTAGCAATATTTGCTTCGCTTATTCTTAAACCCTGGCTCCGTCCTTGCCTGGATTATGCTTTGTACATACCTGCCACTGAATACTAATAAATGTTCCATCAAAAAGATGGATAAAAGAGAGAATCAGATATAGCGAGCAGGCCAACAAAAAATTGTTTCAATTTTAGAATATTTCTAGCTCATGTCATTCCTTGTCAAGTCTATTTTCTAAAAATCCTCAAAGTGCACACTTTATTTCAGGAAAACTAGATATTTTTACAATGATGTAATTATTTTTCTATTAGAATGGTTACCATTCTTATTATTTCACCTATTTTCGCACTATGAATCCATGATAACTTCACCAATTTTTAACATATCATGAATCTTTTGGGTGATATTGTATTTGAGATTGTAAGGAATAGATTGGTGGGTCAATTGTACATATTGCTTGCAATTTTGTCACCCCTAAAGATTTGATTCTGCCTTTAATACCCGAGAACCAATAAAACAGTACTATTTTATATAGTGGGATCTATTTGACAATCTAAACAAGACTGGTTAAATCATACATAAGCAAAGTATATGAACATCTATTGACAAATTGTCCAATAAATAAGATAAGACATGTACGAGTACTGACGGTACTCATTATTTGTTACTCTGTTAAATGGTATCATGGTAAACAAAAGGTATGATCGTTTTAATATATAGGAACGAGAAGATTAGACACTCTGTTAGACCTAATACATAATCCAGTCAATTACATAACTCATAATTAAAATGAAACAATTAAATACTCTTGTTAACTCTCAAAAGTTCTAAACGAGCCAGAAGGAAAGCTGAAGTACGTACCTTTTGCCGTATTTTCTTTTCTTCCTTCCTCGCATTGTCCTCTGCGATCCTCCGTTCAATGTTGAAGAGTGAGTCCTTTGTGAAGAGGCGGAAGGGGGAGGGTTCCGGTGACTCCATTTGTGTAGTATGTTATCCCTCGAATCAAGAGTAGTAAATGTAGATCCCAATGTCATCACTCTGGAAAATACAATATTGATAATTATTATATCACTATCTAGCTAGCGACAGTATGATTGGTCAAAACCGGGTCACATGTCGTGGGATATCTGGCGATATTCAATGGCAATGCTAATCAGGTAAGACAACCGTGAGATATCTAGCGATATCCCACGCTTCCGGGAATTTTCAAAGAATTTGTTTTCGTTCAGTGTAAATAATTTAGTTCAGTTTAAGTCAAAATGGCAGACGAACCGAGTAGATTCGTAAAAATATCTGAAGACTTAATGACTTAATAATATTAGGGATGTTTAGCTAGACAGTGATATAATAAAACAAATATTTCACTCTATTTTCGGTGAATACCCGTAGCACTTTCACAAGGTGATATTCCACTTGCCCTTCGGGCTTCGTGGAATATCACTTGTGAAAGATGTACAAGTATTCACCTCAATAGAGTGAAATATTTGTTCAATGTCTCATTATTACGTTCCATAGTAATATAATTATTACATAAACATTAAATGTAGCATCATTTACACATTATCAAGTAAAAAAATACATTTTATCAGGTACAATATGGACAAGGCGGCCAAGAGGTCAATTTTACATCATTAAAAATGTTTACACCGGGATGGATGAACGATTTTACTGGGATAACATCCCGGCACATAATACCATTCTGGCAACCAGCACAATGTATGAATTGGGACTGTCACAACTAGAGCATGCTCCATATTCCACCAATGTTGCTCCGAGTGACCTGTATTTACATGGTGAACTTAAATGGTGGAATCAGTTATCAAACGTCAGGTTATTTAAGAAAAGATGTTTATGGGAGCATTCCAAAAATGAGTTATCAATGGATTTCGAGATCTGTTTGCAGAGTGGGTACTACGGTGAAAAATGCATAGTTAATGGTAGCATTTATGCGGAGTAATGTGTATTGTGTAACATACAATAACTGAGCAATCAAATGTTTATGATTTTAATAAAATAAAGTGTTTTAGATTGACATTAATATTGTTAAGTGTTTTAAATAAACAATATTGTCTTCATCAAATTTTTCATTCCATTTTCTACTAAAACAGATAATTTGCCCCGGTTGACGTCTCATCGGGTTACCATAGTTAGCATAAAATCAAGCGATCAAATAAAGAATCTTTACTTTTGGGGTATACACTCATAGTTTTTGGGAAATATCTTTGACGCCACTTCTGGATCACCCTGTATACATGTAGTGTTTCCTTTCGATGATTTCGCATATTGTAAGTTAAATGAACATATTTTATCAACTTTCATTGACTATATAGGGTGTCTCAAAAAATGTACCCAAAAGTATATCAACACCATAGACAAACCAATCCATATTTTCAGACAAGATGAAAGTTTTTTCCCCTATACACAGTTTTTAATTCAGTTTTGCCCTTTTGATACTTTAACCCGTTACTTTTTACACCACATATTCAATATAACCTCATATTTCGATGACAGTCTGCATCCTTACTACTACATTGTTCATTACATTTGATATATCTTGTGGAATGTTTTGATTTCTAGGTCTCTTAGCTTGGGTTTAGCGTAAAAATGGTCCTTCAAATAGCCTCAGAGAAAAAAGTATGGGCCGTCGAATATGGTGAATAGGGAGGCCCTCACGATGTCTTGTAGCCCCCTTGTTCTGCCATCGTCATCCTCAAATATCTTTCTCTGTGGCTATTTGAAGGAGTGTTTTAATGCTCATTCCAAGCAAAAAGACCTAGAACAACTAATTAAGGGCAACATCCAAAGAGAAATCCAAAACATTCCACCAGAATCATTATCAAATGTGATAAACAATGTAGCAGTAAGGATACAGGCTGTCATCGAAATATGAGGTTACATCGATTATGTGGTGTAAAAGGTAAAGGGTTCAAGCATCAAAAAGACAAGACTGAAATAAAAATGGTGTATTTGGGAGAAAACATTCATGTTTTGGCTACATGACCATGCAAAAATGTCTGAAAATATTGATTGGTTTTTCTGTGCTCTTGATATACTTTTGGGTACATTTTTTGAGACACCCTGTATAATAGTCATATTTCATATTTCTTATTTCTTTACATAACTGTCCATATTTTGGGATATTTGGGTTTTGTTTTCATTATGATTGGTTGTACTATTGGACGCTTAATATTTTGCTCTGTTTTGTGACGCTCTTTGCTCAATATCCAATGAGACTTGTATAAATATTCATCACTTTACTGTGAAATTGCGAACATAAATACTTTTGATAACATACAGACAACTCTAAAAAATAGATACCATGAATTGCAAAAACTTGTGAATGGTGGGTCTAGCGTATGTTATGAAATTATGTAATACATTTCAAAGGGCACGATATCAATAGAAATCATTTTTGACAACCTTCACGATTAAATAGCAATTTCTCCCTCGAGAGGATTGAATCTTTAAATAGTAGAAATGTATGGGTCAGAGGATTAGTTCATTAAGAATTATTCACCCGAGCATTTAGCTAGATCAGTCTCTCTTCATGAATATAAGGCAACGGTGCTATCGATTTTTACTGAGCTTAACATATACAGTGCAACCTAGCTACGTAAACTGTTGTTATATACGACTTGTAAAACTTTAAGTGCGTTTACACCAAAAACAGTCCATCAGCATTATCATTGAGAGAAAAAATGTTTTTCCTTGTGAAATTCTTATTGCACACTGCATATGTATTATCTGTAGTAAATATGCATATACACAAGTATATGTATATGCACCATCTAAAAGGACATGCTAGGGCCAAAAAGTCTGCATTTTTTATTTTGATATATTTTACAATGTTCCTAAAGTGGGATAGATAAATCTCTGGAGGCTTGAATAATGAAGGTTAAGAGACACTATGAAAAATTACAGATTTCATGATGGAATTCAAAGTGAAAAATTCATTTCAATTCTTTATAGATAATGTATTGTAAGTTATATATTATCGACAGAAATTAAAGTATTGGGGGTGTATTGAGACCGATGAGGAAGATTAGCATAACTGGTTCAACATCAATGAAAATGAAACTGGTAGGCGCGTCTAGATGAAAAATGATGTTCTCTTATTGCCTTGTAATTTAATTCTATTATTAGTCTGAGTCTTAAAGGACAATGGTGAAACAAGTTCTTAAATATGTGGGCTCATTGAAGTCCTAAACTGATCTTTATTGCTATAAATTTGATCTCAAAAATATCTTTCACGGTAAAGACAGATTTTCCCAAATCACCGATTTTCCCTTGATGCTGGATCAGTTTTTTTTATCTTACTTATTTGTCTTATGTCAATTCTAATATTCAATTTTTGTCTGGAAATTATTTCAGAATATACTGAACACCCTACCCCGTGTGTTTCTCTGCCTGGCTGAATAATTAATATGTCAATCTGGTACTTTAATTTGAGGCATGAGTAATATCATTATAAAATTGTTGTTTCAAATAACATTCTGAAACCTGGTGTCTGTTTTTACCTTTTCTATTTAAAATCCCAGGAGATATAGTTATCCCACTTCAGGAACAATACTTGTGAAATTGATTAAGGCTTATCTTGTTAAATTTTTATTGGAATCCATTTACTTTCAAAAAGTTATATCAAAATAAAAAAATGTGAACGTTTTTTGGCCCAGCCTCGTATATATGCAACATGTACCCGTACATACATATGTACCATATACAAGAACATACAGCAGTGCACATATCCGTACCAGCATGTTTTAGTAAAAGAACCACGTGTGCTATCAAATTGGACATAAATATTATCCATTAGATCTATTATATTGAATGATGACTGATACTGATTGGCCCCGATGGATTATCACTTGCTAGGTTGTTTTGATGAAAATTGATGTGGAGAGCATGATTTATGTATGCGTCTATATTAATATCATTTTTATTTCATTACAGAAATAGCGCAATTAGGCTTCATAATATTGGTATGGATGAAAATGAAGTTATTTTGTGTAAGGGAGGTTGGCCAATTTTATGTTCTGCATCCATACATAGCTAGGCAAGGTGTGTCCGATTCCAGCCAATCCGAACACGCTATTTCAAATAACTGCATGCTATTATATAACCAATAATTCACCCAAGTTTACTCATTCTAGATTCTATTGAAACTAATGAAACCGATCAGCTGATAAGTTCATATTTGGGTAAAATTCTATAACTAGTATCTTAGGGAACAACAAGCTATGAGCTTATGCAGCTCAAATGTTAAGTGTTGCATGGTTGTCAAGGTGACAATCCTAAATCCTAAACTTTGCATTCCCGCTGCGCAGCCATGCAAAGACTTGAAAACAAAACCGCCGAGAGAAAAGATTCAGTACACAATGCACTGAGTCCGATCCAGGACTTAAATCCTTAAACTAAAATGTTTGTTTATTAATATACATGCATAGAGTCATCCTTCATAATTTGAGGCGATGTACACCCCTTTGTACTAAAGATCGTGTACGTTTGTCAATTACATAATTTATATGCAATTGTATGACAATAATACACTATCCATTATTTATATAATAGGCGTAGCAGAACTTTTACGACTGGCAGTTTTCGGATATCTGAATATTTTGGATTCACAATTGTTCACTCAATTTTGAATGAAATCTAACTTGATGTACGCATTGCTTTCATTAGTAAGAGCATTTGGATACCTCCATGTTTCCTTTGATTTTTCACAAAACCATAATGTCCCAGGTTCTGTTTTCATCAATGAATGTTCGCATAATTAATGAAACACTTGTGTTACAAAGCAAATTAAATCACAGTATATAATTACCATTGCGTGTCTTGTACATGTTTTTATATTAACTATGCTCTCATGAGACGAGGCGTCAGTCCTTGAACGTCTTGGCAAGCCATACAAAACTCACAATTGGTTCGATATCAACTTCAAAATACCCCAACACCAGTCGAATTTTATGAATGATGGTTTACAACCTCTAAAACCAAAATTTAATCAAAATTCAGATTCAATCAATTTGGTTGTTTTATGTTTTATTAGCCACAGAAACATCGAGTTATTTCGAATTTGATTCCATTCGTGATTGACAGCGAATCAATCAATTAGCATGTCTGGAGGATTCTTACAACAACAAGCAAGTTCCCGGTGCTCAGTCGCATTATACGAAACTAGAGTTTGTAATAAAATGCAGACTCAGTGTATTTCCAGATAGCATCGTACTTCACAATAAAGATATATGAAGGCATAACCTATAAATAACAGTAAAAGGCAATTTTGAGCTGCTCTCCTAATTAGAAATAGATCAGACGACTGTATTGACTGTCTTGTAAGAATATCGATCTATTTGACTTTCTGCTACATCTGACTCTAATACGTAATTACATCTCCCAAAATGGGCCCTAACTGGGACTCAATATACATTGTAATATCAATGACATAGTATTGATACTTGAAAACCATTTTAATGATTCACACCAAAAAGTCGAACACTGTGGTATTTGACGGACATTGACAAAGAGCGTCCGCTTTACTTTTATAGTTCACACCAAAAATACGAACACCGAGGTATTTGACGGACATTGAAAAAGTACGTGCCCCGTACGACGTTTATAGTTCACACCAAAAATACGAACACTGAAGTATTTGACGGACATTAAAAAAGTGCGTGTACTTTACAATAGTCAATTATCCCGTATTATTGCTCGGTCTCTGAGTCTACATATTAAAAGACTGACAATACCTTGGCAACCTTGCTGCCTTGTGTCTCTATCAGTTTGTAGTTTGTACACCATGCAGGTCACTGTAACCTCTCAATGGACTTTTATCATTATTTCAATTATTCATAGCCATATGATGAGAGTAATTTATGAAAAAACAGAATCGATACAATTCATTCAGGTGCGCCGTTAATGTCACACAAGTACGCTGTATCATTTGTATGCATATTTGTCTATTTATGAAAACATGGACATTAGATTAGTCATCCACACAATTATCGACGTCATGAGTCATAAAACAATGGAGTATGTGCACGTAATGTCTACAGCCTTGCAATGGAATTGACACGAAAACGAGTGCATTATATTGATATAATGCACGTCAATATTCCATAAACGTCTGTGTAAAATGTTTAGATTTTCTTATCCCTCTGAAAGTACAAACAAGATTAGGCTCTAAATGCTATATATAAAAGTTTGTACCTCTGAAGACGACTGGGGGGGGGGGTACACGGGGGAAGAGGAGGAGATTTGCCCAAGTTCAAACTTGCCATTGGGGGGGGGGGGCGGTGTGGTAGACAAATTGCAAAGTAGGTCACTCGTTCGAGCTATGTAAAATCAACATGTCGGGGTTTCCTTCATTTCTACGATGTAACACTATTTGATATAAACCATTAGGGTTTATTTCATTTTGCTATTACCTTAAGATCATCAGTCGAGTTTCACGCAACTATTCATAAAGAAGATGGATTTTGAATGAGAAAAGCGAAAAATTGTTGAAGTCGAACTGGCCGTCGGATATTTTGAATGCCATGTGGCAGTTCCATATAAAGCCTGTAGGGAGTGCTCATTAATATCAATAAGTGGCAAATAGTGGCAAAAATGGCAAGTCCGTGTAATTATAGGAGCTACTCACTTCAAATGGGGTGGGGGGGGGGTCGGCTGAACGTGCTTAGAAGAACGATGTATAAGGTATATGTTCAGGCCCATAGTCAGGGGTGTTCAGGGGTTCGGACATCCTCTTGGCCACAAGTTCTTTCAAAGTCATGCAGTTTTCACCATTCTGAGCACTTTCCAATGATTTTGGGTCAAAGTTGACAAATATGAACCCCCTGACATTTTTTGAAAAGTGAACCTCATTTGACAAAAGGGACTGATGTTTACGATGCTGCTTTTCGATGATTATGCATAAACCTAATATTAGCTCGTGAAATAGACAGGACATCATACAGTCGTCCTGCATACATCCCAAATAATCTTATTATGCTCTGTATATGAGTAGTCTTGATTTAATAAAACTCATAGAAATGAGTAACAACAGAAATAGGGTATTGATTTTTTGACAGAAATGCTGTTTAAGAAGATGTCTTGCCATGTTTTGATCCAGAACAGGCACTTCACCTTATTTCTACAAATACATTATTCTATCAAGTCTACTTAGATCTTCATGTTCTTTTTTCTCAAAGATGCTGATTGCTACATTATTTGTCTTACACTGTTAAAGTTTAAACGTAACTTGCTTCGCTCACATAAAAAGGTACTATACGTACGTACGTACATGGCAACATTAAAACACCTGACATTTTGGACATGTCAATCAAATATATCATCCATGTTTGAGGGATTTCAGAATCACTTGTTTTTCTTAATGAGTCCATTTGCATTTGGATGTCTTATTGGCTGGTATCGTTGATGAGATTCCCCTCTATTTATGCTTTCTATATCCTTGCTATTGGTCCTTATTCAAAATAGGTAATATCAAAAAATCAGAATTGAGCGTATGCCTACTTAGATGTGCAGTGGAAAACATATTTTAAGGTATAGATTAGAAGATTTTGGTTTTGTTGCACAATGTTTGAGGTTATTGCTTTTAATTCTGAACAGGTCTGTGAAAAATTAAACCGCCGGTATATTCCATGAAATTAAAGACACAACAATTATTTGGTCACATCGTCTCAATGTTCTGCTTTTCCAACGTGTTTTATGGTCGTATCAACAGATTTTGAGAAGAAGGCTCTCATTAGACAATATGAAAACCATGTTATATAACTTTAATAGGGAATAAATTCAGAAAAATCAGATAGGAGTTACATGACCACAAACATACTTGATATTGCCTGTCAGACTCTTGATTTTTGAAACTGTAGAATTAGAAGTTAACAGCTTAACAATTCGTGAGAGAAACAGATTCTGACAGTCCTTACATGCAAACGTGTCTGTAAATATTTTGTAATTTGACTTATACCGCACATTAGATGATTGTACGTCGGCTAACGTCTCTCAGTGTTACACACTTTCTTAGCTCACTTATCAATTTGCAAAGAACGCAATAAAGAACATTGATTGATCTTATTGATGATTCCTTTTGGGATTATTGTCTTTAGATAGTTGGACTCTATCCATAACGTGGTAAGTAAATCATCTCAGATCTTCCTTAGCACGATGTACCCATAATACCACGCAAAGGGCCCCTTCTCCACTTTGTGTGTTACGAGACGGGCCCCTAGACACAGTTCACATACTCCGAGTGTCTAACTGTCTATCCTATCACTAGGATCAACACTAACCGATAAAACTTCATCAATTTTAGATTAACATTTAGAATAGGTTGGAACAAGGTTTAAGGAAAAACATCAATTGAAATGCATTATTTCGGTAGAAATTTTGCTTTACCTCATTTACCAACATCGGGATTCAAAAAATTAATTCTACGTTTTCCTGCATGAGTGAACAACGAGCAAATATATTCAGCAGCTTCAATAATCGAGTAAGAATTCACTCACATCAGCAACCAGGACGTTATCTTGTAAATCATAACGTCTTAGTTGCGTTGTTTGTGTTAACGCCCTGATTACTAGCGAGGGATTTTTCACTTGATTATTGGAGCCCTTGGATGTATACTCGTGACTGATTCGCTTTTCAGTAACCGGATGCTACTATTTCCAAACGGGTAGGATATACAAATCGACCTAATGTTTGGTGAAAAAGATGATAATAAAAATTTCCTCCGACTGGGGACCAATGTTCTTGACCTCTTTAGGTTAAACCATATCAACAAATTAACTAGCACTACAAGTTTAACAACAAGCGAGTGAAATCTAAATTTGTTTGGGAGATTTTTATTCTTTATACATTTTGTTTTATGCTAACCTTTCAGATTTCAATAACGGTTTTCAAGATTTAGGGGTTGACGTCATTTTATTTCTAAAATGAAGTATTTCTGATGTTTTCAAACGTATCCGAAACTTTCGAAAAAGTACCAAAGATTACCTGTCCTCGAGATGTTTTCCATTTTTTGTTTTGCCTCGCTTTCTGTACTTTCTCGATAATATTATTGGAATATTTACAGAATGATGAAATTCGTCCATTGGGATGACGCGTTAGTTGCTTTGCGTTATCAACATTAACAGATTAAAGTGCTTCAACCATGCTGTAAGCGCAACTGAAGTGACTTATCCTCTCCCTTAATTACAGGTCACGTAATGATTGTCTTGCGCCGCAGCCTGTATATTCCACTTCCGTTTCCCACCGGATTACATCTTATTGCGGAAGAATTTTTACGGCGGATTTGTACGTTATAAATATCAAACCATTCAGGTCACACAGACAATTTACTGCTTTTTCGAAAATGAAACATTATCAATTTTTACAGTTACTAACCATGAATAAATAATGAAACAAATTCATATGACCTTACTTAGTTAAGATTAAAAGTTTACACTCGTTGGATGAATTTTATTCCCCGTCGTCTATAATGGCGGTAGTGAGTCTTACTTTAAGCATCGAACAAGCATCATCAATAACAATGATTCTATAGGGAATCCACCCTTACAGTAGTTATCTAAAGATATATCTTATAAGAAAAGACTGAATGGCGATTACAACACGATAAGAGATTATTAAAATAGTGTACCAATTTACATAAGGGTATAAGCAGAGACGTCTCTGGTATAAGGAATTGCATTATAGTGTGCAGTGAATGTCCCTCAATGTATTGTTACTATGAATATACACACCATGATTTTAAATTGTTACAATCGATCTTGATTCATCGATCTTTAGATTATTTGTGAACTCAACTAATTAGAGACGTTAGGTTTCGACATACATGTGTATACAATATTGAATAATAATTTCGAGCGTGGCAGATGAAATTGAATTTTCATACTGTATCTATAGACCCTCGGCCTCTCTTAAATACAGAGTCAGATTTTGTTGGGGTATGCGTCCCTTATGGTAAGTTGTCCCCTAACATCACTTCCCTTTTAGTTTTTACCCAATAGTATAGTTATTGCAATCTCTCCCAGTTCACAGTAGCAATCCATCCGCAACTATGCCATTAGGAATGAACTCCATGACACTTAGAATTGATTACGATATGTTACTGATGTTGTTTGGACTACTTACTCTTCCAATTTCGAATATATACAAACAATTAACTATAACCAGATTAATACCGATCATCTTCTTTAAGGAGACCACTTGGGATTCCCCAATACGACAAATGTGGGATCGAGTTAGAAAATATAACCTGACAGAACTGCTAACTAACATGATTGTTAATGGCATCTACTTAACTAAAGGATCATGGAAAAGATTCATTAAACTTGAAGTAAATGATAAACAAAGAGCCATATACAGGACTACATGTAACACGTATAGGCGCCATGACGTCTGCCTTAACATATGTGACGTAAAGGATGGGGCAACAGGGCCCTTGAGACCGTGTGTCTGGTGGACGTTGGCGAAGATGAAGCCAGAATTACTTACACAATGCAAAACCATGATGCGCCTAGCGACGGACAGTCACGATTTTAGAGTAAAAAATGATGGTATTAATAGCACCTGCTTCCTTTGTGACATGTTTGAGATTGAAACTCTTGATCATTTTTTATTTTCGTGTACGAATTTTTCTGATGAACGCATCAAATTAGCGAAAATATTGGACAAGTACAGTAGCAATGGCTTGACGGACAATAAGAATATCATATTTAATTTTAATGGCAACGTCACTTATTCAGACATGGCTGGTATTTCGAACATCATCCATGTAATGTATATCAAAAGAGCAAAGCTCATCAGCCAATATGCTGGCAATTAACATACTAGTGAAACACACTATAGATGCATCTGATCTCTTGTAATTAACAAGGTGTCACTAAACTGTAAAAATGTTTCGATCCACCATAACTGTATATTATATGTTTTGTACTACTCTGTTTAAATACAGGTTAATAAATGAAATGAATGAATGAATAAGTGAATTAACAAATAACATAACATTATTAGTTTAGGGGACAGTTTTCTCAGAGGGATCTCACAACACGTACGATTTGTCCTTTGGTCGCAAACCGTATCTTCTACCGTGATGCAACAGAGAAAATGGACTAAGAATGTAACTGAGCAAAGAGCGAATTCCCCCAAAACAATAGTATAAAATCATATCATAAATATCACCATAGGGTACTATCTCGCAGTCCTGTAAACAAGACATAATCTAAATATGTTCAAGAGTATATTTTGTCACCAATGGATACCATTCATTATCTAATTATTGAATTGTATTATTCTAATATAGACTATTTTTTCTATTCCGTGATATATAGGAGAGTACAAAAAGTATCCACGAGGAAATATGTATATAGACTATTTTAGATTGTCAGGTAAGAATAACATTTGATTATCTTGGCAGCATACATTTTTGAAAAAGCCAGAATAGGCTTGGGCACACATTTCAACAACGTCGAACAACATGAGGACCATATACAGTGCATCATACAAAATGAATGAAAATCGAAACAAAGCAGATACGTACACCAAGGAAAAACCTCCAAATACCCGAAATCGTAAAGGATTTGATTTAGAGGCATATGTCAATAGTATGACAACTACTGTAAGGGAAATGTCCCTTATTGATAAAGGAGAGATAGATCAGATTGAAACAGTGTTAACAAATAGATAAAACCAACAGAACGCCTGCAATCCCAAGTCAATAAAAGGCCTGCTTAAGTTACTAAGAAAATCGAAACCTTTTGAGGAAACCGAATCGGATTTTCCTAATAAATGACATAAAATACAATATGGTAATGTACATGGTTGATCAAATTGTTTGAAAATAAGCTATACTGCATTAATAAAACGTTTTATGGATGTTTTAAAACTATACTTTTGAGTGTATACACTGTGAACTTTTTATTTCAACCTACTTTATTGACCAATGGAAGACAATTTGTAAAGATCCGTCTATTACTTCATGATTATACCTCGTATTAAAAACCGATTAGAATTATGTAAAGCTTCGGAAACACTCGGGATCGACTTAAGATAAAGCCAAGCTTTCTACAATCCGCCATTACTGTGCAAGTTTGATGCCAACTGTGACTAGGGAATACGAGGATTAGTTTGAAAGAACACGATATACAGTATAAAACCTGCCTTATCCAAACACTTACATTTGTATGTTTTATTAACATGTAAGTCAATGGGAGATTTCAAATTTTGGACCGATAAAGAGTTCACATTGAGAGTTGTTCGGATCAGAGAGGTATTCAGATATACAGGTTTCACTGTATATCGATGTATCGAAGCTAATGTAACACCCCAGTCACATTTGTCGTACGGCGGCCGTACGTCGACCGCAGATCAATTAAATCAATGTATTTCTGCGGCGAGCACGCTCGCCTTGCGGCCTCCGTACGGCGTATCCAGTTTTTACAGGCCGCAGGGTCGCCTTAGAAATTATAACTCGGAGTTATAATATTTGTTCATTTCTGAGTGAGTAACTAGTTCAGAAGGAGTGAGTGTGTATGTATGAATGAAAAAATAAATGAGTGAGTAAGCAGAACCAAGAATTGGAATGAGTGAGTGAGTCACGTGTTAATATGTGAGTAAAAATATGTGTGAGTAAGTGTATATGAGCGTTTGAGAGACAGTATGTGTGAATGACTAAGAAGTGAGTGAGTGAACGAATAAGTTAGTAACGTTGTTTTCATAATTCTTGATTCTAAGTACTGTTATACGCTTGGTTAACGGGATTATATTCGATTTTGAGATCACTAGCTTATGTATTCCCTTTGATTATGCTGTTATTTAACATCACGACTTTTGTCGATTGTATGAATCCCCCAAGGTGGTATAAAACAAAATTAACTGGAATTTCCGCAGTCAAAGGGATATCTAATTGGGCCTAGGTTGAGCTTTTCCTACTTTATCATAGCTATAAAATACATATAATTGCATCTTATTTTGGCTATAGAGATAGGATCAAAAATAATGAAAAACAAATAGTCCAGCTAATAATTATCCAAATAATCATTATGTACTCGAAAATAGTATGGTCGTAAATCGTGTGACTTGACGTGCATATTTTAAAAACGTGCGTGGCTTATTTTGAAATCTTGAGTTCATGAGCACTGTATAAGGATCAGTCTTGTACATAATGGGTATCGCATTATTGAGAATTCTGAATAAATATATCGTGCCTAATCATTGCCATGTTCATTTTAGATTTTACGTTATGATATCTTCCAATTACGTTTATTGCATATTGCTGCTCAGGCATCATTGGAATAACTTAATTTAAGACTTCAATATGGTTTACCACATCTCCCAAGGCGTAAACTGCCTTACAACCTGTTATAACGTATACGATATACAGGGTGACAACTAAGGACCTCTCTCCCCTCTACAGCCAAAATTCAAAAATATATGGTACCAAGTGTGATGTATCATTGAAAAGATCGTTTAAGGTTGCGATTGGCATATATCAGATGCCGATCAATCAATGTCACAAATTGCTTCATTGTATCAATTAAGGTGACTATAAGCCTAAGAATTAAACATGGCAATTTGGCCTATTTTGCATGATTCGAAGAATCAGGCTTCTGAAAAGTACAAGGAGCTCAAAATGACATTATGAATATGCCAGTGAATTGTGGATAGGGTTAGATGTGTAAAAAATAGAGGGGCAGGGAAACTTTTTGATATATTGTTGAGGTCAAATCCTTTTCATTTTGACGCAATAAAAGCTGCTGAAGGAGGGTACACTAACTATTAGGGATATCATGGAAATATAGGTAAATTTCATTCAAAATATTTGAGAGTTGGTGAGTTAATGTAACGTTGGATGGTTTTTCGAATGGTATATCACACTATGTACCATCCACCAAGGTTTCATCTGTAGCAGGGGACGGGACTAATTTGACACCCTGTATTCATTACAGAGGGAAAGTGACACTTGAAACAATCCATATATTTTTGCCACTATTCAATTAATAGATAGATATTTTTTAATATACAGAGTGGGGCAAAACGGTATACACTTTTATGTCACACAGTTAGAAAACCACTTCAAAATGTAATGGAAATAAAGTAAAAATCCAACAGTCTCTAAGCTATTGCTTTATCTGGTCTGAAAGGATTGTTTAAAAATTATGAATTGGTGAATCACATAGAGCATTTGGTAACTTGGTCGGCTAAAATGAAAAGCCAGTGGGATTCTCTACTTTCACTTGAGCCAACTTATACTAGATCACTTTGTATTTCATGATTTATTGACAAGTTTGGATACATGGATAACAAATAGTCCTGACCTTGTACAAAAGGAAAATATAGGGTGATATGGTCAGCTTTTGAACAATTTTTCAAAACCACCAAAGGTCAAATTAAAGCTATTGATCATTATTGTATGGAACAAGCAGCATGCCTTTTACCGTTATGTGATAAACGATGTCATTTTTGCCTCATTTTGAAAAACAATCCCCCATGTATAAAGCTTTCTTCAAAAAATTTATAAACCACAAGTTTATTATGATGTACATGCACACTTTTTGTTATACAGGCGTTTAGTTAATCCATTATTCCATATATCATAATTCTGATCATTTGCTACTCAACACCAATTTCTTGACAGTGAATAATACTGAGATTAATAAATTAGCAGCTCGATCTGAAATTCTTATCAAATTTGGAGAAACCAGCAAGATCAATTTATTACTGCTTGGTTGTCCATATAATGAAATGAAGTGATTTGATTTCTTACGATTTTTACGATGATTGGGAGATATTAACCTAAAACTGAATGTTCCGTGATGGTATAATAGCAAATAGTTTATGGTGTTTCACATTTCGAATGCGTTGTTTTGATATTAAATCTCATACCATCCTTTGTCACGAAAATGAAATTTAAAGGTAATATACCATTTTAAAGCTTATGACTCAATCAATGTTAACAAATCAATTAACATAAAGGTGTACCTATTTTTTGTGTTACATCAAATTTTCATTATATACCCTCTGTAAGGAGTCTTTCTGTCGAGGAAATGCTCAAACAACTTTAATGAATGGCTTGTAAAGTTACCCTACTATCACACCAAACTTGTTCTCACTACGTTCTCGAAAACGGGCTTAAACTGTGCACGAACGGATTTGACGTACTAAGAACCCACTAAGAACCGTTTGGGATCTGTTACAAACTTCATGAAACTACTAGAACGAGTAGGTCCTCCAGAATTTCCTGGTGATCGTCAAAACGTTGCCTAATCGGTTTTAAACTGTGTGCGCACTGAATGAACGTAGCTACAACGTTCTACGGTCTGTTTACGAACTTCATGGACTTTCCCAGACGGGGAATGTGATTTAGAATTTTGAATCGATTCAAAATTCGATGGCGACCATACCGTTCTGTAATAAGGTCATGATGACCTTCTAGACTAATGGACGCGTTATACGACGTTGCACACCGACCTGGTGCGACATGAACGCACTGCGAATGGGATGGACGTATTGAGGACAAGTAGCTAATTATTTTAGACATATTTCCCGACCACAGCCAGATCGAGCCCGTTTTACGACGTTTTCGTAGGACTGGCAAGAACGGGTAAGAACTAGTTTGGTGTGATAGGGGGGTTAGTATTCTTTCAACAAATACATGTAATGTAATACATATAAAAAATGTACTGTGACAATTTCAAAATTATATTCCACATGCCTAAGATATTACGAGTTTAAGGTTGTGACTTCCAAATTCAGCAATGTTACTGTTTTCTTCTTTAAAAATACTTTCTTAACAGAGGGTAATTAAATAAAATCAAATCTAAAGAATAATTATGTTATGAAGTGATTTTTGCCAGGCATTCGGTATATCAGTGCTTGTTGGAGTTTGTTGTCACTAAGGTATATTTTAAAATTGCTAGAATCTAAGTGTTTTTGTCTTGAAGTTAGTTAACTTTCAACAAA